TTGAGTCCTCTTTTTTATTCTTGATGAGTCTGACTATGTTAATTTTATCTTTTTAGAGAATCAGCTCTTAATTCCATTGATCTTTTCTATTGTCTTTTTAGTCTCTATTTCATTTATTTCCACTCCGATCTCTATTTTCTTCCTTCTGATTTGGGCTTTGTTTGTTCTGGTTTTGCTAGTTCCTTTAGGTGTCAGTTTAGATTGCTTTTTTGAGATTTTTCTGGTTTCTTGAAGTAAGCCTGTATTGCTATAAAATTCCCTCTTAGAACTGCTTTTATTGTGTCCCATAGATTTTTGAACCATTACATTTACATTTTCTCCTGTATCTAGGTATTTTGATTCCCTCTTTGATTTCTCCATTGACCCCATTGACCCCCATTGGTTGTTTAGTAGCATGTTGTTTATTCTCCACGTGTTATTTCCAGTTTTTTTCTTGCAATTGATTTTTAGTTTCATTATTGTTGGAAAAGATGCTTGGTAGAATTTCAGTCCTTTTAAGTTTATTGAGACTTGTTTGGTGGCCTATTATGTGATCTATCCTGAGAATGTTCTATGTACACTGAAAAGAATATGTTTTCTTCTGTTTGGGGATGAAATGTTCTGTATATATTCTAAATGCATATTGTCTAATGTGTCATTCAAAGCCAGTTTTACTCTGTAGATTTTCTGTCTGGATGATCTGTCCATTGATGTAAGTGGAGAGTTAAAGTATCCTACTATTACTGTATTACTGTCACTTTCTCCCTCTTTGTCTATTAATACCTTATATATTTAGGTGCTCCTATGTTGGGTGCATAAACATTTACAATTGTTATATCCTCTTGTTTGATCGCTTTATCATTTTGTCATGTTCTCTCTCTTTCTTTAAAAAGATTTATATATTTATTAGAAAGCATAAGAATGGAGGGAGGGGCAGAGGGAGAAAATCTCAAGCAGACTCCTTGCCCAGTGCAGAGTCCAACACGGGGCTCAATTCCAGGACTCTGAGATCATGACCTGAGCTGAAACCAAGTGTTGGGTGCTCAACTGATTGAGCCACCCAGAAGCCCCTATGTTATGCCTTTGTCTCTTTTTACAGCGTTTGTCATACATCTACTTTGTCAGATGTAAGTATTGCTACTCCTGCTTTTTTTTTTTTTATTTGCATTTACAGGGAATATCTTTTTCCATCCTTCTTTTTCAGTCTATGTCTTTCAGTCTGAAGTCTCTTGAAGGCAGTGTATAAATGCGTTTTGTTTTTTTTAGCCATTCAATTGTGCTTTGTCATTTGATTGGAGCATTTAGTCCATCTTTAAAGCAATTATTTGGATGCCTGGGTGTCATAGCGGTTGGGCAGCTGCCTGTGGCTCAGGTCCTGATCCCAGGATCTGGGATCGAGTCCCTCATTGGGCTCCTGCAAAGAGCCTGCTTCTCCCTCTGCCTATGTCTCTGCTTCTCTTTTTCTCTCTCTGTGTGTGTGTGTGTCTTTCATGAATAAATAAATAAATCTTAAAGCAGTTATTGACAGATATGTACCTATTGCCATTTTATTAATTGTTTTCTTGTTTTTGTAGTTCTCATTTCTTCCTTCTTGCTGTCTTTTCTTGTGATTGATGACTTTCTTTAGTGTTATGCTTGGATTCCTCCCTCTTGATATTTTTGTTTATCTGTTACAGGTTTTGGTGTGCAGTTACCATGAGGTACATGTATAATATGTATACAGCAGTACATATAGACGATAGTTGATTATGTTCCAACACATTCTCAAAGTACTACATTTTTACTTCCCACTTCTATGTTTAAGAGTATGTTGTTATGTTTTGCATCTATTTATTTTGTGTATCCCTTAACAATTTTTGTAGATACTTTACTGCTTTTGTTTTTTAACCTTCATACTAGCTTTATGAGTGATTGATCTGCTTTTACTATGTATTTTTTTTGAACAGTGAAATTTTTCCCTTTAATAATTTTCTTCTAGTTGTATTCTTTTCTTTTCCTTTTAAAAAAATCCTTTTAACATTTGTTGCAAGGCCAGTTTAGCAGTAATGAACTCTTTTAAATTTTGTCTGGAAACTTTAGCTCTGATTCCTTCTCTTTTACATCTTCTGCTTCTTTGTTGAAGTTCTCAAAGTACATCCACTCTTCTCTCAAGTGTGCGAAGCATTTTCTAAGTTGTAAGTTCTTTTTATTTCATTTTTTATTTAAATTTAATTAAGTGACATAGTGTATCATTAGCCTCAGAGGTAGAGGTCAGAGATTCATCAGTCTTATATGACACCCAGTGCTCATCACACCATGTGCCCTCCTTAATGCCCATCACCCAGGGACACCCCCCCTTCCAGTGACCCTCAGTTTGTCTCCTATAGTTAAGAGACTCTTATGGCTTGTCTCCCTCTCTGATTTTGTCTTGTTTTATTTTCTAAGTCTGGTAGGCATCTTTATGACCATTACTTTGCACTGTCAGGTAGGTTGTGTATCTCTTCTTCTTTTTTCTGAGATTTTGTCTTATTCTTTTGTTGGGAACATAGTCCTCTGTCTCCTTATTTTGTCTGACTTTCTGTGTTTGTTTTTATGTATTATGTGGGTCAGCTCTGTCTCCTGGTCTTCAGAGTAGTGGCTTTATGTCACTTGTGTCCTATGGGGCCCAGAAGCACAACCACCACTGGTTACAAGAACCAGTCACTCTAGGGGTGTTCCCTTGTGGCTGCATGTGACCTCCTGTCGTGACTGAACTGGTGCTGCTTGCACCCTGGTTGCTGGGGCTTGTCCTCAGCCTTCCTGTCAGCAGTAACTGTGGCCTTGACTACTCTGGGTGCACTAGTGGGCAATCCTGGCCCCCCAGATCAGCTGATTCTCATGACTGGCTGCAACTCCTGCAGTCACATTGGTGGACAGTGCCGGCCCCTCTGGGCTGTTGGGAGACAGGCCTGGGTGTGGCTGTACCTGCTGCAGGTGTGCTGCTTGGCCTGGGTGAATCCTGACGCATCTGGCTGAGGGGCCTGGCCGCAACTGCTGTGGCCATCCGGTGGACTGGGCTGGGTCCTCACCTGCCTGGGGCAGGACTCGCTTTGGAAGGGTGCCAATACTGGCAGAGGCTGTCTGTTGGGTGTGGTGGAGTGGTTGTTGCTTTTTGGGGATGCTGGTCCCAACCAATGCTGTCTGCCGGATATGGTGGGATAAGAGCCACTTTCCATGAGCACCTGTCAGGGCAAGCAGGTTAGATGGGACCAGTGTGCTGGGGAACACAGCAGGGGCAAGCAGTGCTGGGAAGGTAGGCAAAGAGTCAGGACTGACCCCAGCTAGGCCAGAGGACGGCAAGGGAAATGGCACCTGCTAGCACTCGCATGTCCAGAGGAAGCTCCTACCTATCTTTGTTCCTCTGGCACTTGTCCAAAAATTAGTCAGTGAATCTTCATGTGTATGATAACCCAATCACTCTTCAAACTGCTGCTGCTGGGATCCCTGGGTGGCTCAGCGGTTTAGCACCTGCCTTCGGCCCAGGGTGTGATCCTGGAGTCCTGGGACCGAGTCCCATGTCGGGCTCCCTGTATGGAGCTGTTTCTCCCTCTGCCTGTGTCTCTGCCTCTCTCTGTCTCTGTCTCTCTCATGAATAAATAAATAAAAATCTTTAAAAAAAAATTTGTTTCTGGGGTGCCTGAGTGGCTCTTTCAGTTAAGCGTCTGACTTTGGCTCAGGTTATATGATCTTAGAATTCTGGGATCAAGACCTGTGTCAGGCTCCCTGCTCAGCAGAGAGTCTCCTTCTCTCCCCCTCCGCCCCTCCCTCCACTCATGCTATCTCTTTTTCTCTCTCTCAAATAAATAAAATCTTTTTTTTTATGGTGAAAAAAATTATATTCAGATTTATAGCCAGCAGGACTCAGTTTAGATGATCCCAGTTTTGTTGATGGATCCCAACATCCAAAACATTGTAGCCAGGAGCCAGTTGAACATACGCTCTCTTCTCTCCATCAGGCCTGATTGATCAAGGTGTTGACCTTGGCCACATCAATGTCATAGAGCTGCTTCACAGCCTGTTTGATCTGGTGCTTATTGGCCTTGACATCCACAATGAACACAAGTGTGTTGTTGTCTTCTATTTTCTTCATGGGTGACTCAGTAGTCAGGGGGTACTTGATGGCATAGTGATCAAGCTTGTTTCTCCTGGGGGCGCTCTTTCAAGGATATTTGGGCTGCCTTTGGAGACGCAGGGTCTTGGGTCATTGGAATGTAATGGTTTGGAGATCTTTTTTTTTGTGACTGTGCACGCCTTTCAGCACTGCTTTCTTAGCTTTCAAAGCCTTTGCTTTGGCTTCGGCTTTGAGAAGGACAGGGGCTTCCTTCTTTGCCTTCGGTGCCATCTTCGTGAAAGGGCAAATAAATAAAATCTTAAAAAAAATTATTTCCCACATGTTTTTATATGTACTAAAAAATTTATTAATTTTAACCCAAGTCATTTATAATAACATTTAAGTTGTTTTGAAAAATAAGTTTAAATGGGGGCACGTGGGTGGCACAGTCGATTGAGCATCTGACTCTTGGTTTGTGCTCAGGTTGTGATCTCAGTGTTGTGAGAATAAGCCCCAATTCAGGCAACACACTCAGTGCAGAGTTGGCTTGAGATTCTCTTACTCTCTCCCTTTGCCCCTCCCTCTAATGCATGCTTTCTCTGAAATGAATAAATATCTTTAAAAAATAAGCTTAATTTCATAAACTAGCAAGTAAAGCTATAATTGGAAGTCAAGCTAGAGTGATTGCAAAGTGATTTTTCTCTTTTTTCTTTTTGATCTGGGTATTTGAATTGTTTATGCCTCTGAACATGTGTTACTTGAATGAATAAAACTAAATATAATTAGATTTTTTAATCATTAGATGTAATGATTATTTTTCTTGTTTTTAGTAGTAAAGATGTTCAGATTTCAGTTTTCCAAAGTGATAAAATTCTTCATGAATATTGAATAGATAGTTGATTTTGGATTTGTGCTTTATTAATTTTTTAACATTATTTTTGATTTTATAAAGGATGTTCATGTATTTGCTTTGGAATACAAAGTGGATGATGGACAACGTATTTACCTGGTGACAACCTATGCTCAGCTTTGGTTTTATTATAAATCCCGGTAAGTCTGTAAAGGACAACACATTAAACTTACATTTCCTTCATCTAGTAATGTTCGTGAAATTAATTTTGGTAGAATTAACTGCTGTAGTTCTCAATCCCACAATTGGTTACTTCTTTACTAGTAGAATTGAATTCTGGAGCTTTTTTGTCATAGCAGTCCTGAATGATTTTACCAGGTGCTGGGAGAAAAGTGTGCAGTTGTGTGTGTGTTTTGAGTTCCTATACATGTGATGACTTTTTGTTCAAATTACAAACCTTTTACTTCTATTGGATGCCATCTGGCCTTCACTTAGAACAAGTCATCATTTATTAACTGAGCCAATATCTATTCTTATTTACCCATGTTAAAGTCCTATCTCTTGATCCACACATGAGCATTGAAAGTTCACTGAAGTCAGGTGATTCAGAATATGTCTTTAGCTGATTTTTAAAATACTGTTTTCCTAATGAAAATACAAAACTTAAAAACTCTCATAAAAAACTTATTGAATCCCAAAAATATATGTGATCCTGGGATTCCAGTTTGAGAAAGGAAATTCTTTTCTCAGACAAGATTTGTTCTATCATGACACCAAAAACAAAAGAAGTGTCATACAATGTCAAAATTATCTATGAATAAATAACAGCATGAGGTTGACCATATGTTCAAGTTAAATAATGTTACAGAATATGATTGTTACATCTATGATGGAAGCTCTGAATAATATGATCCATTATCCTACAGTGAGCAGTTCACTGTGCCATAGCTTCATCATGCCATAGTTATATGTCATTAAATCACACTTAATGCAGCATCTTGAGTTATAAGATCAACTACTGTGATTTAAAAGGTATAAGATGTAAACCTAACAATATTGAGTTATTTCAATTCAGAAGAAATCTCTTACACTGCTATGAAGTCATTCCTGAAAATGCTGTGTGCAAGCTTTATTTTGATTTGGAATATAACAAACTTGCCAATCCAGAAGCTGACGGGAAAAAGATGGTTGCATTACTTATTGAGGTAAATTTCAGATTCAGGTTTTTCTCTTTATATCTGTATCTCTCTTCATTAACTTATTCATTCAGTAAATGAACCCAGCTTATGCAATATTTGGGTTCTGTGTTTCACCTTCTCTTCCTTTTGACTTTCCTTTCTTAATATGACTTCCCTGAGTAAACTTCTAAAACATTAGGTCCATACATATTGTGATGTTAGCACATTTCTGTAAAAGATAGGCTTGAGAAAGGTGACAGATTGGAAACTTTCTATTTTTAAATTACATATTACCTCTCTGTGTAACAAGTAGCTGACTCTGGTAAAAGTTAAGCAAAGTCATTTTTATTTTAAAAATCAGGTACTGAGATGAATTTCAGGAAAACTTAGATGAATAATTATATGCTAATTTTTATCCTAGAAGAAATTCTGGAAATTATTTTGCCTTACACCATCACAAACGAGGAAGTGAAGGTCTAAAAAGGTCTAGGTCTTAACTCCTATTCCAGGTCCTATACTATTGGTAAAAATTATGGCCTAGAAATATAGTTACTGTTTTTAGCAAAGAGAAAAGACTGTAATTCTAGTATATGTTTTTGATTTAGCAGTGTCAACCAGGAAGTTACAGAAGAAATAATATGGGCTTGTTCAACTAAAGTCTATTAATGTTTGTTTATAAAACCTTCAAGATTTTAGTACATATTAGCTATTGTTTGGGTTCAAAGTAGATATTAATGTTTATTGATTAATTTGTTTTGTCTTTTCCTTTTTAAAAAATTTTTTTAATTTAAGTTTTTATTTTGAGAGAAAGAATTGAGTGAGCCAGGGGAGGGGCAGAGGGAGAGAGAGAATCCCAAGCAGACTCTGCACTGAGCATGGAGCCAGATGTGGGTCCCCATCACCCAACCCCAAGATCACAACCTGGGCTGAAATCAAGAATTAGATGCCTAACCGACTGAGCCACCCAGCATCACTTAATTTTTTTTTTTTTTTTTTAGAGAGAGAGAGTGTGGGGGATGGGAAAGAGAGAGAGGGAGAGAGAGAATCCCTGAGATCATGACCTGAGCCACTGAAATCAAGAGTCAGACACCCAACTGACTGCGTCACCCAGACACCCCTTAATTTTTTTTTTTAGATTTTAACTACAGATGACATGTCTTATAACTTTAAAAATGTATCTCAAAATGTTTTTGATAAAGAGTATCTGCTGATTATGTTGAATCACTCTATTAAAAAAAATTTGGAATAAATTTAAAAAAAAAATAAATTAAAAAAAAAAAAAAAAGGGATCCCTGAGTGGCGCAGCAGTTTGGCGCCTGCCTTTGGCTCAGGGCGCGATCCTGGAGACCCGGGATCGAATCCCATATCGGGCTCCCGGTGCATGGAGCCTGCTTCTCCCTCTGCCTGTGTCTCTGCCTCTCTCTTTCTCTCTGTGTGACTATCATAAATAAATAAACTTAAAAAAAATTTGGAAAAATGTACGCAAATACTTAAAAAAAATCATGAAATGTTAGCTTTCTCTTGATTTCCCCTCCCCTTAGGTTGATTTTTTTTATTATGAAATATAATTGACATCTAATACTATTAGTTTCAGGGGTATAACAATGATTCAACATTTATATGTATTATTCACCATGGTAAGTCTAGTTTCCATTTATAACCATATAAACTTATTATAATATTAATAACTATGTTCCCTGCATATATGCCTGTGACTTTTTTATTTTGTAACTGCAAGTTTGTATCTCTTAATCTTCTTCACCTATTTGTCCCATATTCCTACTTTCCTCCTCTCTTGAATCCACAGTTTGCTCTCTGTGGATTTTTGAGTCTGTTTTGGTTTGTTTGGTTTTTTAGATTACACGGATAAGTGAAACCATGTGGTATTTAACTTTTCTTGTCTGACTTATTCCACTTAGCATAATATTGGTGCTAGCAAATGGCAAAATTTTATTCTTTTTCATGGCTGAGTGATTTTATATATACCACATCTTTTTTTTTTTAATTTTATTTATTTATGATAGTCACAGAGAGTGAGAGAGAGAGGCAGGGACATAGGCAGAGGGAGAAGCAGGTTCCCCACGGGGAGCCCGATGTGGAGCTTGATCCCAGGACTCTAGGATCACACCCTGAGCTGAAGACAAACACTCAGCCACTGAGCCACCCAGATGTCCTGTGTTTGGCAATTTATAAGCATTTTGCTAATGTCAAGATGACATGTATGGTGGTTCTTAGTGACTTCATTTTGCAAGTGAGAAGTTTCAGGAGAAGTGACCTGTTTTGTGGCTGCCCAGCTAATGCTTTTAAGCAGGTACCTATGCCAAGCACAGTACTAACTCTTTACTCTCATCTTGTCATTTACTCCTTACAACAATCCCAAAAGTTAGGTCAGATTATTATCCCATTTTGCAACCGAGGAGTATAAGGTTTAGACTTGACCAAAGTCACAGAGCTGATAAGTGGCAAAGCCAGTACTCAAACCTAGGTCTTTCTGATTCCAAATCTTGTGCACCTGTACCTGCATTTGCTGCCTGCTTATAATGTGTAACTGCCTTCAATTGGCAGGAGCTAGCTCTAGAGGGCTGTATACTAGAGGTAGATTTTGGCTCAGTACATATGAGAAACCTTCCGAAAACTAAAGCTATGAAAAGTGGAATTAGTAACTTTTTCAAGTGAAATATCACTTGTAGGTGATATTTAAAGAGATGCTTAAAAAGAATTATTTCTATTGTGATTTTAGATGGGATAAATATTGAAGATAAAGTGTTCGAATTTTAGGAAGTCCTTATTCCTGAGAGCCTATGACTTTTTGGACATAAACACATATAATAATTTAAATATTTCTATACATCAGTAATGTGATGAAGTTGTTACATAGTAAGTATTCAGATAAGAAAATAAAAAATGAGTTAGAGTTGTACCAAGATATTTGAATTTTGTTCATGGAAAAATTGTAAAACGGTTTGAATTTTATTCAAAAAATATTTTTTCAAAAATATTCAAAAAAATATTTTACTTATGTTTCTAGCATGTTTGTAAAGCACTCCAAGAGCTATACAGGGTTGATTGTTCAGCCGAAGATGTTTTCAACTTGGATTCCAGCACTGATGAAAAATTTAGCCGCCATCTAATATTTCAGCTCCATGATGTGGCATTTAAAGATAACATTCATGTTGGTAAGTATACTGTTTTTTAAAAAGTCACAGGATTTTATTAAAATCCTCATATTTTCCTTTTCCTCTTAAAGTTTTGTAAATATTTGCTGGGTTTTGTGGTTAGTAACCTATTCTAAATAATGAAATGTGATTTTTCATATCTTCAGGATTTGCCTTTACTTCTAGACCGACCTTCCCCTTCTAGACACATTTTAGACACATTAGCCTACTCAGGATGTCCTTGGCATTAGTGGCTCTTGCTAGAGCTGTTGGATGGCCATGCATTGCCTGGTACTGGTTTCTACTCCAACAGAAGTCACTGCTGCAGTTTTCTGAGTATTGCACGAGAGGTCTAATTCAGGTCCTACGTGAAATGCATCGAGCTGGATCCTTGCTTTAGCCCTAGCTTTTAGTTCATAAGTACTGTGCCTCGGGCTCCAGGTCACATCTGAAGAGGCTTTTTTATTGTTTATTGCTCCAGGCTGAACCTCAGGATTGGAAAAACATCTCTGTTTGTAAGCTTGAGAGTATAAGGATAGTGTTTGTCTGGGACTGGACATGGAGAGATGCAGGCCCAGGCATCAAATGAAGTCAGTCTGAAGGGGAAATAGGCAAATGGGAACACTGAGAATCAAGGTCTAAATAGAAGCCCAAATCCCAAGTGTTTATCAAAGCAGCAGTTGAGCAAATATTTCTAGGTCTAAATGTCAGATGAATGACTGAAGTTCAGGTAATAGGTAATCCATTTCAGAACTACATTTGTTTGATAGTTTCAGGGGGACCTGGGGGAAAAGGCGAACATAGTCGCTAAAGGACTGGCATAGGAGTCAGGAAGCTAATTGCTAAATTAGATTAATGCTAGGTCACGGTGGCCTAGTTTGCCAAGTATGAGGGCCTCCTATTACTGCCCTGTTTTGTGTTGCATGGTTGGACGTGCCTTCCATTTTTCTTTCATCCCTTAGATACTGATAATTGTAGACTGTATCCTTATCCCTCTGTTCGCTCTATCCATAACCTTTATTATCATCCACTCTCATGACTGATCACCATCCATGTGTTGATGACCTAAGTCTTCATCTTCAGCCAAGACTGTCCTCCTTGCTGCCAGACCCATACAGACAGCTGCATCTTAAATATTCCCACATGGATACTTCAAATGCAGCTTTATTTATTTATTTATTTATTTAAGATTTTATTTATTCATGAGAGAAACACGGAGAGAGAGGTAGAGACATAGGCAGAGAAAGAAACAGGCTGCATGCAGGGAGCCCGATGTGGGACTCAATCCTGAAACTCCAGGATCACACCCTAAGCTGAAGGCAGGCATTAAATTGCTGAGACACCCAGGCATCCTAAACTCAGCATTCCTAAGCCACATTCCCCATTTTCCCTTAAACTTGCTCTTTCTCCTGTGATAGGTATTTCAGTATCCACCATCTACCCAAGTGGAAATGTCGATGTCCTCTCTGAGCTGTTTTCTCTCCAATTACTTATTTAGTTAGCTGCTGGAGTGTTGGGATTATACCACTGATGTGCCTCATGCCCTTGAAGGATTGGTTACTACCTTCTGGAAAATGTCCACCTGTCTCTGTGTGCACAGAGGCCCCCTGCGCTCTAGCCTCTCACACCACCTAACCCTTGTGGTGTAGACCTTGATGGTGTTTTTTGTTACGTTTTGTTGTAATGATGCTGGTGCCTGACCTCAGCTTTGATTGCCAAGGCATTCATGTCAAAGTCCACTATCTCAATAAACACTGCCAGGCCCCTTCCCCACACAGAGGCCTTTTAGATTCAGAAATCTTGATTGATTTCAGTAACAGACCTTTGGAGCCACTTGTTTCCTCTTCCTTGCTTTAAATTCCTGCTCTTGGGGCAGCCCAGGTGGCTCAGCAGTTTAGCACCACCTTCAGCCCAGGGCCTGATCTTGGAGACCCGGGATCGAGTCCCATGTCGGGCTCCCTGTGTGGAGCCTGCTTCTCCCTCTGCCTGTGTCTCTGCCTGTCTCTCTGTGTGTCTCTCATGAATAAATAAATAAAATCTTTAAAAAAAATTTTTTTAAATAAATAAAAAATAAATTCCTGCTCTTATGTTTCAGATTCACCAATACGGTGTGTGCCTGGGAAACCCTAGGGCTCCACCCTCAACCCCAGTCAAAGCAGAACCCCAGCCTGTGGCCTGTGCAGGTGCCTGCTACCCTAGGCCTTGCTGTGTGGCCTCAGTTCTGCAGTGTAATTTTCAGGTCTTGTGAGCAATATACCTTTATTTTTTTTTCAAAGTTTCCTGATGGTCTGTTGTTGCAGGACATCCCGCAGCTGTAATGAGCACCGCAAGGACCAGTCCTGGCCCAAACTAGGCCTTCTCACTCTATCTTGCATTTAGTTCCTGCGGAGCCATATATTCTCTAGTCCCTGGGCCTTTGCACTTTTTGACATGCTGTCTGAAAGGCGTACTCCAATGACCTGGTCTGTTAAGACTCAGTGTAGATATCATCAAATGAGAGGCCATTTCCATCACATCCTGAACTCTAAGACCAGGGTAGCATTTGTTCTTGGTTTCAAAGAGGCCAGGGCTTCTCGCACCAGAGCATTCAGCACTTCCCGAGGTAGTTTCCTATGTTGTTGTTTGGTCTTTTTTATTTATGTTCCATTTAATGTTTCTTGATAGCCGGGACTATTTTTGTTTTGTTTTGTTTTGTTTAAAGATTTTATTTATTCATCTGAGAGGGAGAGAGTGTGAGTGAGGTGGAGGGGCAGGAGGAGAGGGAGAGAATCTCAAGCAGACTGTGTGCCAAGTGTGAAGCCGGACTCGGGGCTCCATCTCACAACTCAGAGATCATGACCTAAGGCCAAAATCAAGAGCTAGACACCCAACCACCTGATCCACCCAGGCGCCTCTGGCATGGACTGTTTCTCATTCATTTTTTATTTCAGAGGTTAGCATATAATAATATCTTTATCAATAATATTAGTAATGGAGCAGTAGTACAACAACAGCAATGAAATACGAGTAGGAATTTGATAACTATTTGCTGAATGGAAGACTGTGAAGTGGGCTCTAGAGCCAGGCTCTCCACTCTGCAGAATCTTAAGTAAGATATTTCTTTAATTCTGTTTACTCCTCGGAGTCTGCTCTAAGGCTCCTGACCATAAGGCTAAACATTGAGATCTGTTGCTAGGGAAGAAGGAGAGTAGAAATTTGTCAGGTAACTAGCAGCCTCTGCTACAGACGTCCTCTGAAAGCAGATGACATTCAAGCTGGCTTTAAATTTGATTCCATCACATAAACAAAGAAGGGCTTTCCTGCCACAACAGCACACACAAATGTGTGGAGATAGATACAGGTTTGAGGCTGACTGGGGGGCAATGGGGTTGGAACTTTCTTTCCTCCAGAATTATGAACTGCCAGAACCGGAGCTGCAGAGGTGACAAATTAGTCCAAGATTTCCCATTCAGTTCCCGCCCCTGCATGCATGTCTTGGTGACATTTCCAGTTCTCATTGTCAGCCCTTTAGAAAGCAGAATTGGAGTAAGGGTAAGAACTCATAGAATGTTTGCAAAACGTGTAAATTTGATCTGCCTAAAATACACCTCTGCCAGCCTGCCATAGGGCCTGAGATCCCTATGATTGATACCTTCTTTTGAGTTATTCCCGGCCAATAAAATCCCTGTCCCCATATTAACAATAAGGACGAGGGTGACCAGATTGGGGAAGGGAAGTAGAAAGCAGAGCAGTTTGCTGGAAGCCTGTGTCAGAATTCATCATGGGGATCCTGTCATCGTATCCTGGCCATGTTAGCACCCTGCCGAAGGCGGGAGGCCAACCTGCCCTGCTTCTCGCTACCTGTGCAGGTGGTTCTGCAGCCATGTCTTCACTTCTCGTCACGTCAAGTAGGTGGCATTTTACATTTCCAGGAACATGAACTTTACCAATTTACGTTTGTATTGCTTTGTTGGCCTGTGTGCCATGTCATGATTTCTTTTTACTCAGTATTTATCCTCATTTCCCTCGTTCCAGAGAATTTGCCTGTTTATCATTGCAAGGATCCAATGCTTTTGCTTTCATTTGATGTACAGTGTTTTACAAGCTGCTAGGTTTGTTTCAATTGAGCAGAGAGTAGTTAATTGGGAGAAAGAGAAATTTGAATATAGAGTGTCTGAATCATGTGATTGAAAAGTTTAAGCTGCCTGGTAAGTAAAGTGCCAAACCCAGACAATAGCAATTTTAGAAATTAAAATTAAGTTTCTGCATTTCTCCAATTTTGTTGTACATAAAGCAACTTACCCAAATTATTGCTTGAGTTTATGTATGAATAATATATGAGAGTTGAAAAAGTCCTGGATTGTCATATCATCTTTTCTTGGTAAAGATAGGACCACTAATAGTTCGAGCTAGATGCTCAACAACTGAGCCACCTAGCTGCCCCTGGATTATTTGTTTTTTGAGTGTAGAGTTTGATAAATTCTTTATAGACTTTGGGCACTAATCCATTATTGGATATGTCATATGCAAATATCTACTCCCATTCCATAGGTTGCCTTTTTGTTTTGTTGATTGTTTCCTTCGCTTGTGCAGAAGTATTTTATCTTGATGAAGTCCTAATAGTGCATTTTTGTTTTCATTTCTTTGCCTCTGGCGATGTGTCTAGTAAGTTGCTATAGCCGAAGTTAAAGAAGTTGCTGCCTGTGTTCTCTAGGATTTTGATGGTTTCCTGCCTCACATTTAAGTCTTTTATTCATTTTGAACTTATTTTTGTATATGGTGTAAGAAGATGGTCCCGTTTCATGCTTATCCATGTTGCTATCCAGTTTTCCCAACACCATCTGTTGTTGAAGAGACTCTTTTTTTTTCCATTGGATATTCTTTCCTGGTTTGTTGAAGATTAGTGGACCATTAAGTTGTGGGTTCATTTCTGGGTTTTCTATTCTGTTCCACTGATCTATGTCTGTTTTTGCCAATACCATACTGTCTTGATGATCACAGCTTTGTAATGGAGCTGGAAATCCAGAATTGTGATGCCACCAGCTTTGGTTTTATTTTTCAGGATCACTCCAGTTATTTGGGGTCTTTTTTTTTAAATAAATTAATTTTTTATTGGTGTTCAATTTACCAACATGGTGAATAACACCCAGTGCTCATCCCGTCAAGTGTCCCCCTCAGTGCCCGTCACCCATTCACCCCTACCCCCCACCCTCCTCCCCTTCCACCACCCCTAGTTCATTTCCCAGAGTTAGGAGTCTTTATGTTCTGTCTCCCTTTCTGATATTTCCTACCCATTTCTTCTCCCTTCCCTTCGATTCCCTTTCACTATTATTTATGTTCCCCAAATGAATGAGAACATATAATGTTTGTCCTTCTCTGATTGACTCATTTCACTCAGCATTATACCCTCCAGTTCCATCCACGTTGAAGCAAATGGTGGGTATTTGTCGTTTCAATTGGCTGAGGAATATTCCATTGTATACATAGACCACATCTTCTTTATCCATTCATCTTTCGATGGACACCGAGGCTCCTTCCACAGTTTGGCTATTGTGGACATTGCTGCTAGAAACATCGGGGTGCAGGTGTCTATTTGGGGTCTTTTGTGGTTCCATACAAATTTTAGGATTGTTCTAGCTCTGTGAAAAATGCTAGTGTTATTTTGATAGAAATTGCATTAAATGTGTAGATTGCTTTGGGTAGTACAGACATGTTAACAATGTTCTTCCAATCCATAAGCATGGAATGTTTTTCAGTTTCCTTCTGTTCTCTTCAATTTCTTTCATCAGTGTTCAGTAGTTTTCAAAGTACAGGTCTTTTACCTCTTTAATTAGGTTTATTCCTAGGCATCTTATTGTTGTTGGCACAATTATAAATGGGATTGATTCCTTGATTTCTTTTTCTGCTACTTCATTATTGGTGTATAGAAAAGCAACAGATTTCTGTACGATGATTTTCTATCCTGTGACTTTGCTGGATTCATGTATTCTAGCAGTTTTTTGGTGCAGTTTTTTTTTTTGTTGTTGTTGTTTTTGTTTTGTTTTGTTTTTAAGTAGGCTCCATGCCCAGTGTAGAGCCCAACAAAAGGCTTAAACTCTCAACCCTGAGATTAAGACCTGAGCTGAGGGGCAGCCTGAGTGGCTCAGCGGTTTAACACCACCTTCAGCCCAGCGCCTGATCCTGGAGACCTGGGATCGAGTCCCACATCGGGCTCCCTGTGTGGAGCCTGCTTCTCCCTCTGCCTGTGTCTCTGCCTCTCTCTCTCTCTCTCTTTCTGTCTTTCACGAATAAATAAATAAAATCTTAAAAAAAAAAGAGCTGAGATCAAGGGTCAGAAACTTAACTCACTGAGCCACCCAGGCATCCCTGGGGGAGTGTTTGATGAGCTATTTATTATACATGACACCAAGCTACCCGTCAGTGGGAATTGAAAAAGTAAAAGATTGCACAAGAGGAAGGAAGTGACAGGAGAACTATGTTTGTAATAACTCCATTTTAAAACCAGAAGTCGGAAAAAAAAGCCTTACCACAATAAAATTGTTTTGAGTTACAGTTTGTAGAAAATAATTAGATTAATCCTAATATTTTTTCTTTTAGGTAATTTTGTGAGAAAAATTTTGCAGCCTGCTTTTCACTTAATTGCCAGTGAAGATGATGATAGTACTTCAGAGACACCAGGCCTTGGATTTTCCCATTTTCCTGAAACACCAATTAAACAAGGGATTGCCTTTAGCAAAATGTCCTCAGATAAAGATAGAGGAGAGAACTGGACATTGGATTCAAGGGAATGGGAGAGGCTGGGGTCAGCTAAGCAAAGCAGTCCTGATCTATCATTTTTAGTTGTGAAGAATAACACAGGAGAAAAGCATCTTTTTGTAGACCTCGGTAAGTAAAATTGACGGCTATTAGGCTGTCCTTGTGTCCCTCCCCAAGAGACCTGTCAGTGCCCATTTGTCACTTTGTTTAGGATTCTTGTGACCATTACTCATCCATAGTGACCATGGAATCACTAGAAGAATGTCATCAATGAGCAAAGGTGCAAGGACCAGGCTGGGCTTCTGCCCAGAGATCTTACAGAGGTCTCTGGGGGACATAAGCCCCAGGCTGCCCCGAGTTCCAAAAGAGACTCATTGTAGCTGGCACTGCCCCTGAAATATCCAGAGGATTTGTGTCAAGGGAGGCTTTACCAGGGACAGTTGGACCAGTGCTCTTTAATTCTGGTGAGAGGTGTTTAATTAGACAAAGTAAATATTAAAAACAGACACAATATAAAAATGGTACTTTTGTGTGGCAAAATGGGGCCAGTGGTTTCTTCGATGAAGAACTTTGCATTTAGTGGCAGGGGTCATTTCATCAGCTTTTTTTTTTTTTTTTTTTTTTTTTTTAGTTTGCATTGAATCTATAAATCAACTTGGGGAGAATTGACATTCTTACGGTATTTACTTGTTCCAGTTCATGAACATGACTTGTTGTTCTACTAACATAGATGTTCTCTTATTTCTCTCAGTGTTTTATAGTTGTCTAATAGAGAAGTTACACATCTTTTGTTAGCTTTATTGTAGGTATTTGGTTGATTGATTGATTTTGCTTAAATAGCCAACATTTATTCTCACAGTTGTGGAAGATAGAAGTGCAAGTGTGTGATCAGGGTGCTAGCATGGTTGGGTTCTGGTGAAGGCCCTGCCCTGGTTTACAGATCACTGTCTTCTCGTCGCATGCTCACGTACTGAGGCGAAAGCAACATTTGTTTTTTTTATGCCTCCTTCCTTTGAGATTTTGGCATCAGAAATCCTCACTGCCTTGGAAGCTCCTCAGCAGTTTCCGACTTTTTTTCCTAGAGGATTTTCCCAGCTTCTCTATTTATTTAAAGAGGAGGGTTACCCCCAAATAATCTTGTTTCTGTTTCTACATGTGGCATTCTTTCATGCCAACTCCACTTTAATTTATATATTGCTTTTATTGTGTTTACAGCTGATAGGAAATAATTGTTTCTTTTTTTTTCATTTTTATTTTTGTTTACGTGAAGGTGAGCTTTTTTTCTGCCTTAATTTTTTTTATTGAGGGATAATTAACATACCACATTACATTAGTTTCAGGTGTACAACGTAGTGATCTGGTATTTGTATATATTGCAAAATGATCAATAACTCTAGTTAACGTCCATCACCATAAATAGTTACAGAATTTTTTACTTATAGTGAGAATTTCTAAGATTTTCTCTTAACAACTTTCAAATATGCAATACAGTATTACTAACTGTGTGTGGCATGCTGTACATTGCATGCTTACATATAAGTGAAGTTTATGTTTTTTGGCTCCCTTTACCCATTGGCCTGCCCCCACCTCCCCACCTCAAACAACCACCAGTCTATTCTCTGTATTTATTGGCTTGGTTTTTTTTTTAAATGTTTAGATCCTCTATATAAGTGATACAGTATTTGTCTTTCCCTTTCTGATTTATTTCACTTAGCATAATACCCTTTAGGTCCAGCCATACTGTTGCAAATGGCAGGATTTGGGGTGCCTGGTTAAGCATCTGGCTTCAACTTGGGTCATGATCTCAGGCTCCTAGGACTTAACCCTGCATCAGGCTCCTTGCTCAGTGGGAAATCAGCCTCTCCTTCTCCCTCTGTGCTCACTCTCTGTCTCTCAAATAAATAAAAACTTTAAAAAATGACAGGATTTTCTCTCTTTTTAATGATTATTCCATTTTGTGGAGATACGTATATATTTTTTTATTCATTTTCTTTATTCATCTGTTACTACTTTGTTTCTGTATCTTGGCTATTACAAATAATGCTGCAGTGAACATGGTGATACATATATCTTTTTGAATTAGTGTTTTTTTATTCTCTTCAGATAAATACCCAGAAGTAGAATTGTTGTATCACGTGGAGGTTCTATTTTTAATGTTTTGAGGAACTTATGGAAGTTTTTCAAAGTGACTGCACCAATTTACATTCCTAATAGTGCACAAGTGTTCCTTTACACTCTTGCCAACACTTGCTATTTCTTGTCTTTTTGATACCAACCATTCTGACAGATGTGAGGTGGTATCTCATTGTGGTTTTGATTTGCATTTCCCTGATGATTAGGGATGTTGAACATCTGTTGGCCATCTGTATGTCTTCTATGGAGACACATCTATTCAGATCTTCTGCCGGTTTTTTAATCAGATTTTCTTTCCTATGGAGTTGTATGAGTTCTTTATATATATTGGCTATTAACATCTTATCAGATATGTGACTTGCAAATATTTTCTCCCATCGAGTATATAGCCTTTTCATTTTGGTGATGGTTCCCTTTCTCTGCAGAAGCTTTTTCCTTTGATGACATCCTGTTTATTTTTGCTTTTGTTGCCTTTGCTGTTAGTGTCAAATTTAACACACCATTGCCAAGATCTATGTCAAGCTTACCACCTATTTTCTAAGAGTTTTGTGATTTCAGGTCTTATATTCAAGTCTTTAATTCATTTCAAGTTAATTTTTGTGTATGGTGTGAGAAAGTAGTACAGTTTTATTCTTTTGCATGTGGCTGTCCAGTTTTCCCAACTCCTCTTACTGAAGAGACTGTTCTTTCCCTATTGTATTCTTGGCTCTTTTGTTGTAAATTAATTGAACTTATATTCTTGATTTATTTCTTTGCTTTTTGTTCTCTTCCACTGCTCTGTGTCTGTTATTGTCAATCCCATACTGTTTTAATTCCTGTAGCACTGTGATGTAGTTTGAAATCAGGAAGCACAATGCCTGCAGCTTGCTCTTTGGGTTGTTTCAACCATTCTGGATCTTTTGTATTTAGTACAAATTTTAGAATGTTCAGTTCTGTTTTAAAAAAATGCCATTGGAATTTTGATAGGGATTGCACTGAATCATAGCTTGCCCTGGGTACTGTGGGCATTTTAACAATATTCTTCCATTGTACGAGCTGAGAATATCTTTTCATTTATTTGTGTCATCTTCAGTTTCTTTCATCAGTGTTTTTTTATAGTTTTCTGAGTAAAGGTCTTTCACTTCCTTAGTTAAATTTATTCCCAGATATTTTATTCTTTCCAATGCAATTGTAAATGGGATTTTTAAAAATATGATTGTTTCTTGATTTCTTTTTCTAATAGTCTGTTACTAGTTGTGTAGAAATGCAGCAGATTTCTGTGTTGTTGATTTCATATCCTTCAACTTGACTGAATTCATTCTAAAATTTTTTGGTGGAGTCTTTGGGGTTTTGTTCATATACATTTCTATACATATACATCTGCAGATAGTGACAGTTTCACATCTTCCTTTCCAATTTGGACGCCTTTTATTTCTTTTCTTGTCTATTGCTCTGGCTAGAACATCCAATTCTATGTTGATGAAAGTGATGAGAGCAGGCATTCTTGTCTGGTTCCTGATCTTAGAGGAAACCTTTCAGCTTTCACCTCTGAGTATAATGTTAGCTAGCGTATGTCACATATAGATTTTATTATGTTCAGGTGTGTTTCCTCTATGTTTACTTTGTTGAGAGTTATTAACTGTAAGTGGTTGTTGAATTTTATTATATGCCTTTTCAGCATCTATTGAGATGATCATTTGATTTTTATAAAGCCACTTTGCTTTTATGAAAGACCCATATTAGTTTGGCAGCAGCTTTTTTTGTAAAAGGGAAAATCTTCTTTGGAATCTTTCAGTTAGTGAAAACAAATAGTAATATAGGTCTTTTGTAAAAGTAAAGTGTTGTAACATGAACTTCCAGAAAGTGGGGGATACCTGTATGGTTGAATTTGGTTTGCTGTTATTTTGTTTTCTTATTTTATTTAGTTAGTTACTTTGTTGAGAACTTTTGCATATGTTGATCAAGGATACTAGCCTGTAATTTTCTTTCTTCTCTGTTTATTTTTGATGTCAGGGTAATGCTGGCCACGCAAAGTGAGTGTGGAAGGGTTCCTCCCCCTTCTGTTTTTGGGCATTATTTGAGGAGGAGGTTATTCTTCTTTAATGTTTAGTAGAATTCCTCTTTAAAGCTGTCTTTTCCTGGGTGTGTTTGTTGAGCGGTTTTTGATTCCTGATTCAATCTCCTTACAAGTAATTGGTCAATTTTCTATTCATGATTTGACCTCGGAAGGTTAGCTGTTTCTAGGAAGCTGTGAACCTGTTCGGGTTGCCCAGTTTGTTGGAGTACAATTGCTCAGTCTTTTTCTATGATCCTTTGTATTTCTGTAGTGTCCTCTTTCATTTCTGACCTTATTTTAGTCCTCTCTTTTTTCCCTTGTTGAGTCTAGCTAAAGCTTTGTCTATTTTGTTTATGTTTTCAAGGAACCAACTCTTGCCTTCATTGATCTTTCCTGTTGTTTTTTAAAGTCCATTTCATTTCTTTATTTTTATTTTTATTTATTTGAGAGAGAGAGAGAGAGAGAATGAATGAGCAGTGGGGAGGGGCAGAGGGAGAAGCAGATGTGGGACTTGATCCTAGGAGCCTGAGATCATGACCCGAGCCAAAGGCAGACGACTGAACCACCTGGGTGCCCCCATTTATTTCTGTTCTGATCTTTATTATTTCCTTTCTTCTACTACATTGGGTTTGTTCTTCTTTTTCTGGTTTCTTGAGGTGTCAAGTTGTTTGAGATTTTTCTTGTTTCTTGACATAGGTCTTTATCACTATGAACTTCTGTCTTAGAATTGCTTTTGCTGCATCCCATAGGTTTAAGTTTCTTGTATTTCTTTTTTTTTAAATTATTTGTCTCTAGATATTTATCTTTTGATTCCTTTGTTGTTGTTTTTAAAGATTTTATTTATTTATTAGAGAGAGAGAGAGAGAGAACATGTAAAAGAGGGAGAGCATGCAGAGGGAGAGGGAGGAGCAGACTGCCCACTGAGCAGGGAGCTGGATGCAGGCCTCGATCCCAGGACCCTAGGACTGAGACCTGAGCTGAAGGCAGGCACTTAACTGACTGAACCACCCAGGCACCCCTCTTTTTGATTCCTTTGTGACCAATATTTTTTCAGTAGCCTGTTGTTTAATCTCCATATATTTGTGAATTTTCCAGTTTTCTTAGGATTGATTTCTAATTGTACGGTATTGGGGTCTAAAAGTTTCAGTCTCAAATTTGTTAAGCCTTATTTTGTGGCCTAATATATGATCTATGCTGGAGAGTACTCCATATGCACTTGAGAAGAATGTATTCTGTTGCTTTTGAATGGAACGTTCTGTATATGTCTATTTCCATCTGGTCTAATGTGTTATTTAAGGTTGATGTTTCCTTGTTATTGATTTTCCATCTGGATGATCTATCCGTTGATGTAACTGGGGTACCGAAGTCCCCTACTATTGTATTTCTGTCTATTTCTGCCTTAGGTGTGTTAATATTTGATTTATATATTTAAGTGCTCCTATATTGGTGCCTAAATATTTATAAATTCTATATCCTCTTTTTGGATTGACCCTTTTTTCAATATGTAATGTTTCTTTTTGTCTCTTATTGTAGTCTTTGTGTTGAAGTAGTTTGACAGAACTATAGCTACCTCAGCTTGCTTTTGGTTTACATTTGCGTGGGACATCTTTCTCCATTGCTTCCCTCTCAGTCTCTGTGTGTCCTTATGTCTGAAATGGGTCTTTTATCAGGAGCATATGGCTGGGTCTTGTTTTATTTTATCCTTTCATCTACTCTGTGTCTTTTGATTGGTGAACTTAGTCCACTTACCATAATTATTGATTAGTATGTACTTATAATTATTTTGTCATTTTTTTTCCTGGCTGTTTTTTAATTCTTCTTTTTCTTTCTTATTTCTCTTCCTTTGTGGTTTGATGACTTTTTTTAGTGACATGCTTCCTTTCTCATTATCTTTTGTGTATCTACCATAGATGTTTGCTTTGTGGCTACTATGAGGTTTACTGTGTAATGAATTACATTTGTAACAGTTTGTTTTACATTTATAACAATTTAAGGATGACACAGTCTAAAGCTGTACATTTTTACACTCCACCCCTCTGTGGTTTACATTTTACGTATCATATTTTACAACTTTTTATCTTGCATATCCCTTAGGTCATTATTGTAGCTGCAGTTATTTTTACTGCTTTTGTCTTTTAACATTTACACTAGCTTCATACTTGATTGATATACTCCTTTAATATATAGTTGCCTTTACCAGTGAGGTTTATACTTTTAGATGTCCCTATAACATTTCTTAATAAGACCGCTTTAGTGGTGATAAACTTTTCTATCTCTTGCTCGTATGGAAAACTCTTTATCTGTCCTTTAATTATGAATGATAATTTGCCAGGTAGAGTATTCTTGGCTGAAAGTTTTTTTTTCTTTCAGCACTTTGACTATATCATGCCACTCTCTCTGGCTTGCAGCATTTCTGCCAGATTTGTGCTCATAGTCATATGACAATGTAATTTTTTTCTTGCTGCCTTTAAGGTTCTCTCTCTCTCTCTCTCTCTCTCTCTCAACTTTTGGCGTTTTAATTATAATGTGTCTTGGTGTGAGTCTCTCTGTTGCATTTATTTCTTTGGAACTTACAGTTCTTCCTGGAACTGTCTTTCCTTCCTCGGGTTACTGAAGTTTTCAGATACTATTTCTTCAAATAAGTTTCCTGGCCCTTTCTCCTTCTGGGATTCATATAACGGAAATGTTAGTCAGCTCGGTGTTGTCTCAGAAGGCCCTTAATCTGTCTTCACTTTGTTAATTCTCTTTTCTTTTTGCTGCTCTGTTTGGTGAGGTCCTCTGTCCTGCCTACGAGTTCATTGATCCTGCTCCCTTGAGTTTGCTGTTAAAACCCTGTTATGTGTGTATTGTTTTTTTTTTTTTTTTTAGATCAGTTTTTGTCTTTTTAGCCCTGTGACTTGTCTTTGCTGCTTTGTTATATTTTCTTTTTGTTGAAGTTCTTACTGTGTTCATCCATTCCTCTCTCGAGTTTGGAGAGCATCTCTATGACCATTACTTTGAACTCTTTATAAGATAAATTACTTATCTCCATTTCACTCAGGTTGTTTAAGAGTTTTATCTTATTTTGTTTGGAATGCAGTCCTCTGTTCATTTTGCTTGATTCTCTTTCTACATTAGATGAAATAGTTTTACCTCCTAGTCTTGAAGGCTTGGCCTTGTGTAGGAGGTGAAACTTACCCGTCGACCCTATCCTAGATCTTGGTTGGTTCTCAAACTTTTTAATTATCCAAGCAGCCTGTTTTATTGTTAATAGCTCCCAGTACTTCAGGGTCTGCCACAACCAGTTAATGTCCCAAAGGGGAGGATCTCATTCAGCACCTAGATTCAGGCTGATTGAAAGCCAGACCTTCAGGCAGCAGCTTTTGAAGAATGAAAATATATACAGTTGTATGGAAGCACAAGTATTAAGTCCCATGGACTGCCACAGCCAGGTAATTTGGAGGTGACCCATGGGTGGTAGTCCAAATATCAGGACCTGATGAACATATAAGCTCCTTTCTGAGAGATCCTGGTGTAGAAGGAGAGCTCAAAGATAGTGACCCCTGGCCTACATTCCCTGAGAGCAGCTCTGGAGCTTCTTGACATATGCTGAACTTGAAGACTGTCCCTTAGGCCAAAGCTCTAGGACAAGCAGTTAGGCCTCTTTCCCAGAAAGGCTGGGGGGCAGGGGGAGGGAGGGAGGGTTCAGTGTGTCTGTGTAGTGCCCTGGTAGTGGGTGCCATCAAAGAACTTTATGATTATTACAGTCCTGTGAGCCCCAGGAACCAAAGCCACCTGACCACCAGAGCCACGTGATTGAGGGTTATCCCCTAGGAGGCAGCCACAAAAGGCAGGGTACCAGATGTCAAAACTGGGGCACAAGATGCATTTATAGGTTCCCCTCTGAGAGATGCTGGTGCTGTGAAGCACAACAGAAGAGAAGATGAAAATAGTGCCTGCCCTCCCAAGGCCTCAGGAAAGGTTTCCAGTTAACCTAGAGGGGTATGTTTAATTAGAAGCCTGTCCCAGCAGCTGCCCCTATGATGATAAGCTAGTAGGCCTCTTTTACAGAGAGACTGAGCTCCTGGGTCTGTTGCTTCTTGCTGTGCCTTCGGGACAGTTGCTGTTTTGAGAACTCTTTAAGAAAGAGAGAGAGAGAGAGAACTCTTTCTCAGTTGGTGACAGATCTGTAGGACCCGTGAGTCTAAGTCCCACTGGCTACCAGCGCCAGAGCTCCCACACAGGGAAGTGCAGGATGTGTTTCAGTCGGTTCTCCATGCAGTGCCCTGGGAGTGGTAATACCGAGAACTGTCTCTCCAGTTTTCACAGTCCTATGGACCCAGGAACACAAGCCTCCCTGGCCTTTAGAGCCAGGTGATCAAGGAGGGATCACCCTAAAAACAGACCACCAGATATAAAAACTGTGGCACCAGTGAGGCAGAGGGGGAGTGCAGAGGTGGCACCCAGTGAGAAAGGGGGTGGAGGGGAGAGAAAAAAGAAAAAGAGGAAAGGTGGCGTCTGCCGGCTGTAGAGAGGCAGAGAAGATAGCACCCACCACTCCATCTCTGGAGAGCATCCCTCAGTCCAATGCTTTAAAGTTTGGAAATGAGTCTCTTTCAGATAAAGTCTGGGCACTTTCAAAGGCTGCTTCTGCACCAGGCCTTGGGGTGAGTGAGTGGGCATGCAAGCCCTTAAGAGCCCTTCCTCAGTTTACCATAGCCCTGCAGGTCTCTGAGGCCCCAGCCCAGTTGGTCTTCAAAGCCAGATGTTTCTGGGGCTCATCTCTTAGGTGCAGGTCTTAAAAGTCGGGGTAATAATGTGAGGTATGAATCCTTTGCCTTTCAGGGAGAGGCTCAGGGTTTTGAATTCCCTCCCAGTTGTAAGTCGTTGTACTATGGGGTGGAGCTCATGGTGAGATTGTGTCTCAGCCTTTCCTACCTGCTTTGATGTGGTTTCTGTCTCATTTGGTGAACGAGTCAATCTGCCAGGCCTTAGGTTTTTATCAGAGGGAATCATTCCAAATATAGCTATAGATTTGATGTGTTCACATGAGAGGGGGTTCAAGATCTCCCTACATTGCCACCTTGAACCAGAACCAATTGTTTCTCTAGTAATGCAATATACAACATTAATTTAATATTTGCTGACTATAAAAACAAGTCACTGAAAATGTGCATTCATATTTGTTTTATTTTTGACAATAGGAGTTTATACAAGAAATAGAAACTTTCGGCTGTATAAATCATCGAAGATAGGAAAGCATGTGGCTTTGGAGATTGCTGAAGATAATAAATTTTTTCCTAAACAGTCCAAGAATATTTCTGAAGAAAATCAGTATTTCCTATCTTCTTTGGTCAGCAATGTCAGGTATATAGCACCAGAATCAAACTGTTAGGTATTCGTGGATGCTTATAAAACAGCGAATGGCATTGTATATAGTACTAAAATGTGAATTGTGTGAATTCATCCTAACTTAAGAAAATGAAAGTTCTTAAAATTCTAGGTTAACTTTTTTTTTTTTTAAGATTTTATTTATTCACTCAGACACACGGAGAGAGAGAGAGAGAGAGAGAGAGAGAGAGGGAGGGAGGGAGAGGCAGAGACACAGGCAGAGGGAGAAGCAGGCTCCACGCAGGGAGCCCAACATAGGACTCAATCCCGGTCTCCAGAATCACGCCCCGGGCCGAAGGCAGACACTTAACGCTGAGCCACCCAGGGATCCCCTAACTGCTTTTTTTATAAGAAAGAAAACTCAAATGACTTGTATTCCGTTTGGAAATAGAGTTACAATTAATACCTACTTTTCGTATATGCACATTCATACATATAATTTACATACTCCTTCATTCAAAGAATATTTTGTGAGATCATTGTTATATGATTATGTTAGTTGTTGTATCCACTCAACATTATATCATGAATATCTGCCAAGGTGATAATCTGCAACAGTTAGTTGTAGTTAAAACTTTTAATGCCTATAAAGTTTTCCATTATACTGATAAATTCTGTAATTTATTGTCAGTTTTGTTGTTGAACACTTAAGTTGCCACATTTTGGTCATTTTCTTTTTTTTTCTTTTTTTCTTTTTTTTTTTGGTCATTTTCAAAAAGTGTGAAAGACAGCCTTCAACAGAACTGTTTACTTTCATTTCCCTGTATTCTGGGCAGCATTTTTTGTTGGTTCAAACAAGCCATGTGTTTATCCTTCAGACTAAATTGCCATGCTGAATTAACTTGCTCTACTTTGCCTTCCTTAGATATAGTTCTCAGAAGAAATCCCTTAGAAATCCTTTTTTTTTTTTTTTTTTAGATTTTATTTATTTATTCATGAGAGGCAGAAACACAGGCAGAGGGATAAGTTGGCTCTCTGCGGGGAGCCCGATGCAGGACTTGATCTCAGGACCCTGGGATTACACTGAACCAAAGGCAGACGTTCAACCACTGAGCTACCCAGGAGTACCTCCATAGAAATACATTTTAACAAAACATTTAAAATACTTTGCTTGGAGGGGAATTTGTGTCCAGATGTCCACTTGACAGCAGTTCCCCAGGAGGGTGGGAAGATAAGTTGTTTCTCTTCATATATTTCTGGACTGAGTTCTTACATAACATTTTTCAGAAGTAACATCAGTCTTACTTTCCTTTCCTTTAAAATGGAAATGTATTAACTCCTATCTTAGGGAGTTGTGAGGATTAAGTGAGTTAAATCTGTACACATAAAATTACTCAACCATGCCTGGCACATAGTAACTGCTCATTAAATGTTTGTTGTTAGTGGTAGCAGTGTCTGCGATTCTGGAAGGGCTGTGGGAGTGGTGTGAAAATTGTATGACAGTTGCTGCTCACTGTTGTTGCCACAAGAATAGGATCTTACGTTGTCTTGTGTGGGAAAAGCACCATGGCCTGAAATCAACCTCCTATTACCAAATCCCATTTCCTTTGTGGTTTCAGTATTAATTCCACAGAAATGGAGAATTCTACTGAATAGGGTTTCCTTAAGTTTTTTTTGTGTGTCTGAGTAAGTATCACGTGTAGTTCTTCCTGAAATGAAGGTTAAAGTTTTTATGGTTATGAATATGTCTTCAGCTAATTTTAACTCACTTTTCCCTTGCTCTCATCCCTCCTTCCTTTTTACCCTCCTCTTATTCACGTTTTTCAAATCATTGTAATAAAAATTTCAAAGGCTCTGTACGTTTGAAGCATAGAATTATATACTTCATTTTGCGGCTTCAGTGGTCCCAGAGTCCTCTGATTCACACTGTAGTTGAAGAAAGTATTTTAAATGATCACCAGACTATGATTAGGATTGGATTTTATAGGCAAATGTGACTTAATTATCCAGAACAATTAGCTGGACTTTAATGTGGGACTATTTGAAATTCAGTTTCCTTTCTATAGCCATATATCTTTGATTCTTACATAATGTTACTTTGTTTTCTTTCACATATTTTCTTCAGATTCTCAGATACTTTACGAATTCTGACATGCGACACATTTCAGAGTAAACAAAAACGAGTTGAACATTTTAGCAGTACCAGCACTAAAGGTAATTTTAATAAAACAATTTCCTGTGAATATTTAAGGATATAAGTCTATTTCGCCTTTAAAAATCTTAAATTTTCAGGATTCATATCTACTGATCCTTTAAAACAACTTAGTTTCTATCCAAAATGGAAACCGTGTAAATAAAAGATGCTTTTTAAAGCGTATTCACTAATTTTCATTATATGGTGATTTTGGGGGAAAAAGAACCCACAAGAAAATAGAGTAGATTATTTGTAGAAAGAAACCCCCATTTTAAAAGAGAATACTAAAAGTTCTCTTCCCCTCGGTCCACAATCAAAGATGGGCAGCCACTGTTTGTTTCCACTGAACCCAGAGGAGCTTTCCATGTATTCCCTCATTTTTTAAATGGCTGCATAGTTTTTTCATGAAACATGTATGTTCTTCAGTCTTATATTGAAAAGTTTATATGCTTTTTCTAAGATCCCATACATTAACACTCTAGTAAATATTTTTATACACATTTTTTAGGTTATCATTATTTATAATAGCAAAACACTGGAAACAATCTAAATGTACAACAGAATAGGATTGGTTACATATTATAACATACTCTGTAGACATTTAATTTAAATTTACAGAGCCACTATAAAATTGAAAATGTCCACTTATAATGTTAAGATAAAAAGTGGACTCTAAAATTATTTGGGAGGTGTGATCACAGGCCCATTAAAAATGTGGATAACATTTTCTTAGGCTTATTTTCTTCTAGTTGTTCAACAGTTATTTCTCGACATTGATTTGGAGTTCATTTCTCTCCCCTCTACTTCAATATATTTTCCAAAGTTTCTTCAATTATGTGCAGTACTCTTATAAGAGAAAAATAAGCGTTATTTTAAGAAAAGTAGATAATTTTGTTTTAAAAAATTAAATATCTTAAGTAAATTATTGTAAATTAGTCTAGTAGAGTCTTAAATACAAAATATAACCGAATTGTCAGAGTCCTACAGCTAAAGATCATGGGAGAACACATGTGTTGTGAACTAGTAGAGTTTGGTACTAACTGCAGTGTGGAGAATTCCTACCTTGGGGAACTGGGGGGCATCTCAGTGAAAGGGTATTAGAAAAACTTTACTATAGGATGCAGACTTGAGTTAGGTGCTTTCAAGAAGTGTCCAAGTAGGCATGGATTTGTTTTGAATTGGGTCTGTCAGAAACAATTCTATGATTGAGCATCTTCATAAATTGTATCTAGAAGGAAGGTGGACTACAGTGAGTCTAAAGCTATAATTGATAAAGAAGCAGCAGTTACTCATATGAGATAAGATGGGAGGTATTGGTCATTTTTGCAATTTGGAAAACATTTGTGTGTGTGTGTATATGTGTGTGTGTGTGTGTGTGTGTGTGTGTGTGTGTGTGTTCAGACATTATTACAGAATGGTCTTGTTTTTGTCAGGAGCCATCCTGGCCACAGAGTGGTCTTATCTGGTGTTGAAATTCTGTGAAATAATTTATGATTGGCCAAAAAGCACCAGGTGTGAGTGCCCAGCCTGCTCATGAGCACACCAATGCGTAGCTGATAGTAGGAGGCCAGCTCCTGGGTGTAAGGGGTTGCTTTTCTCTTCATCAATATGAAGAAAGCAGTTGAAATGATTATAGGTGCTTCTTATGAAAATTAGTTAACATTTGACTGAATTGAGAGGTTTGAATTTTCTGTGCTTATTTGTAGGGCCAGCAAGAACCCAAGGCTTCCTAAAAGCCATGGGAACCAAAGTGCTGCAGGAACTCCAAAACCCATAATAGTACTAAAGAACAGCTTAAATTTTACCTCTTCAACTTTTAGCCACTGTAATTATTAATTTTTCTCTCTGTTGCAGCAGAAAACATTGAAGGTTTCCATTGTTCACCCTACCCTGAGGTTGATCGATTTGTTCTTTCTTTGGTGAATAAAAATGGCATTCAAGGAGGTAAAGATAATCCTATTCTTTATTCACTGCAATATGACAGTTTTTTTTTAAGATTTTTTTTATATATTCATAATAGGGGGAGGGGAGAGGGTCAGAGACACAGGCAGAGGGAGAAGCAGGCTCCATGCCAGGAGCCCGACGCGGGACTCGATCCTGGGACTCCAGGACCACACGCTGGCCCAAAGGCAGGCGCTAAACCACTGAGCCACCCAGGGATCCCCATGGCAGAGTTTTAATACCTTCAGAAACATTATTTGCATTTTAGGAATTCGGTGTTGGAACTACTTTTTCCCAGAAGAATTACTGGTCTATGATATCTGTAAATATCGCTGGTGCGAAAACATTGGAAGAGCCCACAAGAGCAATAATATCATGTAAGTAGTATTTTTACTAACAAGCTCTATGTATTTAATCAATATTACCTTAAATGTTTATAATTTTTATAGTTGAGAATATGAAGATGATTTTGTTTTTATAATAAATTCAGTTATATCAAATACCATATTTATGTTTTACAGTATTGAATTTGACTATCTTAATTATCACCTTTACTTGTACTTTATTCGGTAAAATAATCCCATAGTATAATCTCGAGAAGAGAAAGGTAGACATGAGCAGGCCTAGGAAGAGATTAGAGACAGACAGGTGAGCGAAGAGACGAAGTGTCTCCCTCATCTGCTGCCATTAGTCCTCGACATCTAATGAGTATAAGTTGAAAATGAGCAAACGTGGGTGAAAAGGAAATTATTCAGTGCCAAGAGTTGGAGTGAAGGTTAACATGTTCAGGACAAAGAATGATATTGAATGTTTGCTGTATATGCAGGTCCTGTTTTCAGAGTTTTTTTTTAAAATCCCCCGGGAGGGACGCCTGGGTGGCTCAGCGATTTAGTGCCCGCCTTCCGCTCAGGTTGTGATCCTGGGGTCCTGGGATCGGGTCCCCCATCAGGCTTCCTGCAGGGAGCCTGCTTCTCCCTCTGCCCGTGTCTCTGCCTCACTCTGTATGTCTCTTATGAATAAATACATAAAATCTTTCAAAAAAAATAAAAAAATAAAATCCCCCGGGTGAAAGGAGAGGAAGTGAAGGAGGAAATAGAATTTTAGACAATACAAGGGTATGCTTAGAATAGGGAAAAGACAGAAACCCAGTAGTTATCAGTTTTGATATGGGTAATTTTGCCACGTTTTATATTTAGTATCGAAGCTGAGACTTCTGTGTATCAGGTGTATACATGTGTGCCAGACTTGAGAGAAGATCGGGAAGCTTCATTACAAAGCTGGAAACATGTTGGGTAGCACCATTCAGTGCTGTCCTTCTGTATGTAGGTTAGCTCAGTTTAAAAATAAGATATATGCTCAATACCTAAAAGCTGTCACATAGAAGGAAAAGATCACCCACAGGCCCAGAACCAGTGATAACTATGTTATGACCTTGGTATATCTTTCTAGTCTATTACCCTATGCAAGTCATTATCATAAGATGATCCTCTGTTAACTTTTGAGATTCTCAGGTTGCGGCATAACTTCTTTCTGAAGGACTACCAGCTTATATTTTGAATTCATAACCTCTTCTTTTTCTTAACTATGAAATAACCATACAGGGCTCAGTGGTTGAGCACCTGCCTTTGGCTCAGGGCGTGATCCCGTATTCCTGCATCAGGCTCCTTGCATGGAGCCTGCTTCTTGCTTCTCCTCCCTCTGCCTATGTCTCTGCCTCCCTTACTGTGTCTCTCATGAATAAATAAACGAAATCTTTAAAAAATAAAAAAAATTTAAATAAAACATTTGTTTGGCCAATCTGCTGGTATAAAATGATATTGTGGTTTTTGTCTGAATTTACCTGATTACTAGTGAACATGAGGACTGGATCGTCAAACCATACTCCCACGAGACAGAGATCTTACCCAGGGTCAGGGTTTACTAATACTTTTAAAGATTCAAGGAATCAAAAGGCACAGATGCTAAGGATCACTGTGTTTCCCGAGAAAGATGTGAATTCTCTTCCTGGCCTGGGGACAGTCCGGTGTACAGCTGGGGAACTGCAGCATTGGGGTGTTTATTAGGATTGCTCAGATTCTCTGTCACTTTTTAGATTTGCTTAGTTTGGTATCTTTTTACCTAGTACTTTGTCTGTTTTACCAAAATTTTTAAAAAATTTTGTTTATTTATTCATGAGAGACACAGGCAGAGGGAGAAGCAGGCTCCATGCAGGGAGCCTGATGTGGGACTCAATCCCAGGATCACTCCCTGAGCTAAAGGCGGATGCTCAACCACTGAGCCACCCAGGTGTCCCTTTACCAAAATCTTTAATGTTACTGGCAGAAATTATTCCTGACATTCCTAAGTTTTTAGTATATTCTGTATTTGTAGTTACATCTGCACTTAATTTCTAATAACATTTGTGTCTTTACCTTATTTTTTGATCAATCTTGCCAGAATTGTGTTAGTTTTCACATTTGGGCCTTATTGATTCTTTTGAATTTTTGCTTTTTATTACTTCCTGCCTTTTATTTTATTAGGGCTTATTCTATTGTTCATTTCCCAAGTTAGTTACTTACTGGTCTTTAGCCTTTTTTTTTTTTGTTTGTTTGTTTGTTTGTTTTGTAAATAAGCCTTTAAGATTCTAAATTTCTCTACAAAGATTGCATTAGTTCTATTTTATGTTTTAATATATATTTTCAATTCCATTCAGTTCCAAACATTTTCTGATTTCCATCATGATTTTTCTTTGAGTAATTGGTTATTTAGAAATGTTTTTAATTTCCAAGTTATGGGTTTCTATTAGCTAATTTTCTGTTACTCTTTTTAAGATTTTACTTATTTGAGAGAGTGAGTACACAAGTAGGGGGAGGAGCAGAGAGAGGGACAAGCAGATTCCACACAGCGTGGAGCCTGACATGGGGCTCAATCCCACAACGCTGAGGTCATGACCCAATTCTATACCAAGAGTCAGACGCTTAACCAACTGAACTACCAGGTGCCCCTCTGTTACTTATTTCTAAATAATTTGCCTTGTGGTCAGAGATGTGTAAATATTTTTAAATTTAATAAGATTGACATGGTACCTAGCATAGCCAGTTTTTATAATTGTTTTGTATGTGATTGTAAAGAACTGCTTCTAATGAACTGAGGCAGTGTTCATATATGCCTATTATATCAAACTTGTAAATTGCTTTTAATTTTATTAAAAACTGCTTTTTTTGTCATTCAGATTTTATGTACCCTTAACTGAATTTTTTTATTATTTTTGTCAATTACTAAAAGAATGTTTTTTAAAATCTTGATTCATGGTAGACAAGTGGTTTATCCTTGGGAGTCCTGTCAGTTTTGCTTACACATTTTGAAGCTGTTTTATTTGGTGGGTATGGGTCAGGCAGTAGGTCTTCTTGCGAGGAACATTAGTCAGTGTGTATTTTTTTGCCCAAAAGTCCATTTCGTGTGCTATTTTTAACAACTACGGTTTTCTTTTCATTCGTGTATATATATATTTTTTAAAGATTTTATTTATTTATTCATGAGAAACACAGAGAGACAGAGAGGCAGAGACACAGACAGAGGGAGAAGCAGGCTCCATGCAGAGAGCCTGATGCGGGACTCGATCCTGGGTCCCCAGGATCACACCCTGTGCCGAAGGCAGGCACTAAATCACCGAGTCACCCAAGGATCCCCCATTGGCATATATTTATTTCCATCCTTTTACTTTTTATCTTATCTCCATCTTGAAGTCTTAGGCACATCTCTGATAAGCAGCATGTAGAGAAATTTTGTTTTCCATCCAGTCTAGATATTAAGTAATAACTTTTTCCTTTTTTTTTTTCAATGTAAAGGATTTTGGTTGATCTGAAAAACGAAGTTTGGTATCAAAAATGTCACGACCCCGTATGTAAAGCAGAAAACTTCAAATCGGACTGTGAGTTATTAATTTTTACATGTACACCAGTGAAAACTGGGTATCTACATAAAACAGTAAAACCGTTTCTCTTGTTTAGGTTTTCCTTTACCTGCCGAAGTCTGTCTCCTGTTCCTGTTCAAAGAGGTAAGCGTGGGTTTGAGTTTCTCAGTCTGACAGCATCAATGAGCTCGAGTAGTGTCTGGATGTGTCCAGAGGGTCGGTTACAAATAGTAAATCTGAAAGCAGCTCAACTGCCTCAATATGTTAAGAAATGTAAACTAAAACAGCTAAAAGACCATTTGGCCGAACAGGGTGGTAAAAACTGAAGGGTAAAGATAAACAACATTGACAAAAACATAAAGAGGTGCTCTCTTAAATTGTGAAGCCTAATTCCTGTCATTTTTATGGATACCAGTTGGTAATATGTACTGGTGAAAACATTTGTGATAGTCGAAGTAGGAAAAAAAGCCTATAAAGTAGGATATATACTTTAAAAATACACACACGAGCACATATAAACAGAAATCCTGGAAGATTCGTACCAAAACACTCACATCAGTTGTCCCTGACTGGTCAAATTCTAGGGGAAGACGAGTTTATCCCTTTTGGCTTTTCATGTATTTCCTAATTTTTTTCCTCAGCGAATGTGATTTGGGTAAATGAAAGTCTCTAAAAGGACAGTGTTAAGGTGGCAATGTGGGACTATCTACCAAAAATTAGAACGCATACACCCGTTTTTTGTGTTTTTTTTTAAAGATTTTATTTATTTATTCATGAGGGGGGGGGCAGAGACACAGGCAGAGGGAGAAGCAGGCTCCATGCAGGGAGCCCGGTGTGGGATTCGATCCTGGGACTCCAGCATCACACCCTGGGCCAAAGGCAGGCGCTAAACTGCTAAGCCACCCAGGGATCCCCCGTATACACCCTTTGACATAATTCTACCTCTAGAAATTCTTCCTACGGATAGTTGTTGAAAGAACCACAAAGAAGAGTATTTTGGTACACTTTGTAAAGCAAAAATGAGTAACTTGTTACCCGTCTGGGAGTGGTTACACGGGTGTTCGTACAGTTTCTTGCACAGCAGTGGCGGATGCACACTCCCCATGTGTGCTGACACGACACGGCCACCACCGCACACCCCTAAATGCGAGCGTGTACCAAAGAGTGTTTCAGGGGGAGGTGTACTGATCCGTGTTTGTTGGTAGTATCATTGTGATGCATGTTTATGGTTTCAGTGGATTTTTAAGTTCTTTTTTCTGCTTCTCCAGTAATACCTCAAAAATGCCAAGTTGAGAGTATTTTGTGGTCCATAGTATTACTACTGCTTGGATAGAACCTTACTAATTTAGTAAAAGATGGGACAGTATAATGAATACCCACGTACCCATAAGTTTGTTGTAACAGTTGATATTTTGTCATTTCTGCTTCCTCTGGCTTTTTCACTTTTAGTATTTTAAAATGAATTACCAATCAGTGTTAGGTCCCTGTGTTTCTATACCATTAATCATCTGAGTTTTTTTTTAAACATTTCTATTAATTTTCCTTTTCCGTATAAAAATGTTGCCCAAGGACAGTGAGCTCTCCTCTCCCCGAGATTTGCCATCATTACCACTTGGCACATTTGTTTCCTCCCGCAGCTGTGCGTGTGCACGCTATTACCGTTGATGATTTTTGGTCTCCATCCATTCAGGCTGCTCTAACAGAGTTTCCCAGACTGGATGGCTTAGAAACCACGGAAGTCTCTCTCACGGTTCTGGAGGCTGGAAGTCTGAGCTCAAGACCCTGGCAGATTCGGTGTCTGGTCGGCTCTGCGTCGTAGCCGTCTTCCCGCAGAGCTCTCTGGGGTCCAGTCTGTAAGGTTACTGATCCCAGTCAGAATGGCTGGACCGGACCCTCAAGACCTAATCACCTCCCAAAGGCCTCCCTCCTAATACCATGATCTTGGGGGTTAGGATCTCAGCCTAGGAATTTGGGGTAACACATTCGGTCCCTAACGTATCTCTTGAGAGGGACCTACAGCCATCAGAACCCTGCACCTCTCCACAGTTAAGCATGTAGTTAGAGAATCAGGATATTCCTAAAAGAGTACGGTAACATTTTTAAACTCAGGAAATTTAATGTTGATGCAATACTGTTACCTGATAATACAGAGCCACACTCCTATCCTGACAGTTTTCTCAACCGTTTATAAGTTTTTAAAATTCATGTTAGTTCTTAAAATACTTCATAAATAGGAAAATCAGTCTTTTTAAGGTAGCAGATATATTTTCCAGCTTGCCCGCAGCTGGACTATCTATTTTTTTTTAAAATTCAGTCTGCCATTTCTCTAGCCTCATCTGTGTATATTGAAAAGGACGAGCCACTGGCAAGGGGGGCATTTGCAGATTTAGTTTCGAGTGTCTGAGCTACGGTGGCAACCACATTTGAGTTAAGGAACTGCTTCCCCTTCCCGTGGCGGCTGTAGTGGAGACAGTATCATCCAGCACATTGATTTTGGTGTCTGTTCAGGAACCAGTCTTCTACTTAATACCCTCATTTAACATAGACTATGGAGTGAAAGCATCCCATCTTCTCCTTACTAACCTGTGTTTTCTCCCCATCCCCCTCTCCCCTCCTTTCCCCTTCCAACTAAAGGAAGAAGAGTTCACAGCAGCTGGAACGATGAACAGTGAAACCCAGAATCCTAAGCCACCGTCGGGTGTGTTGTCAGAAGCCGCTTCCGACGCTGCCTGGGACGACAGCATTGATGAGACTGACTTTGTGGAAGCTACTGAAGATGCTGAACTAGCTGAAGCTGCCGAGAATGTTCTTCTCAGCTACTCTGGGGGAGTGGATGAAATTCCTGATGAACTGATCATGCAGGTATTACAAGAGTAGCTCGTTAACTGTGGACTCTCACGTAACCGGCTGTGATCTGGCCTGAAAACGGTTTAACAACCTAAATGTATTAAGTTATAGCACTTTGCTTCTCAATCCTTGTTTTTTACTGAACTAAGCCCGTTTTATTGAAGGTTAGCTTAGAAATCTTACTGATTGACCAGAGTTGGTCTATGTTCATATCAGCTTAATTTTGTAATGTCTATTTATAGGTTAAAACTCTTACCTTACTAAACATTTTTTAATTGAAGTATAACTGACATACTGTATCCTATTCAGGTGTATATCCTGGTGAGTCGAAATCCTTATACTTTACAAAGTGACCCCCATGGTAAGTCTGGCTACCATCTGTCACTGCAGCACATTAGTACAGTATTACTATTTCCTGTGCTGTATATTACATCCTCATGACTTATTTTATAACCGGAAGTTTGTATGTCTTAATCATTTTCACCTATTTTGCCGCCCCACCCCCACCCCCCTCCTCCCTCTGTAACCAACAATTTCTTGTATCTAGGAGTCTATTTCTGTTGGGTTATTTTATTTTTTCATTTTTTTAAAATATCAATTCATTACCAACATATAGTACATCATTAGTTTCAAATGTGTTTGGTTTTTGAAATTCCACATGCAAGTGAAGTCATGGACTTTTTTGACTTATTTCTCTTAGCACAATATCCTCTAGGTCCATCCGTGTTGTTACAAATATCAAGTTGTTATTCTTTCGTATGGCTGAGTAATATTCATGGGTGTGTCTGTGTACACATTTTCTTTATTCGTCTGTCACTGGACACTTGGGTTGCTTCCATATCTTGGCTGCTTCAATAAACAACAATGCTTACATTCCTTTGAATTAGCGTTTTCATTTTCTTCAGGTACATACCCAGAAGTGGAATTCCTGGATCATATAGTAGTTCTATTTTTTCCCCTTTAAAATATTATTTTTATTGTTTTTATTTTTTGTATATTTTTTATTGGAGTTTGATTTGCCAACATATAGTATAACAGCCTGTGCTCATCCCGTCCAGTGCCCCCCTCAGTGCCCGTCACCCAGTCACCCCACCCACCTACCCTTCTATTTTAAGTTTCTGAGGTACCTCCATTCTGTTTTTCCACAGTGGCTGCAGCAACTTCCATTCCCAACAGTGCACAAGGGTTCCCTTTTTCCTGCATCCTCACCAACACTTGTTATTGCTTATCTTTTGGATACCAGCAATCTGATGCATGTGAGGTGACACTCATTGTGGTTTTGACTTGCATTTCCCTGGTGATTAATGGTATTGATCCCTCTTTTCACAGGTCTATCGTCCATATGTTTATCTTCTTTGGAAAAATGTCCATTCAAGTTCTCTGCTCATTGAAAAAAAATTCTATTATATTGTGTAGTTCTTTATATATTTTGGATATTAGCTCCTCCTTGAATGTATGAATGATTTACAGATATTTTCTCCCTTTCAGTAGGTTGCCATTTCATTTTGTTTCCTTTGCTGTGCAGAAGCTTTTGAGTTTGGTATGATTCCATTTATTTCAGCTTTTATTGCTCTTGCCTAAAGAGACTAGCCCTCTTAAAATACATTTTCTTGGGGGTGGGGTGGTGTAAGGGCAGAGGGGGAGAGAATATTAAGCAGACTGCATGCCCAACACAGAGCCAGACTCCGGGCTTTCTTGCTCTTAACGAGCCTGTAATTTTTCTGTAATGTCTTTATCTGGTTTTGGTTATCAGTTATGCTGGCCTTTGTAAAATGAATTTGGAAGCATTTCTTCTTCAATTTTTTGTAATAACTTGAGAATAGGTACTACCTCTTCTTTAAATGTTTGGTAGAATTTACCTGTGCAACCACCTGGTCTTGGGCTTTTGTTTTTTGGGAGTTGTTAAATTACTGATTCTGTTTTATTACTTGTAATTGGTTTATTCAAATTTTCTATTTCTCAGTGATTCTTAGAAGGCTGTGTATTGTTAGTTTATCCATTTCTTCTACATTGTCCTGTTTGTCAGTGTATAACTGTTCATAGTAATCTCATGATTTTTTGTGTTTCCGTGGTGTCAACCATTTTCTGATTTTATTTGTGCCCTTTTTCTTAACTGAGTCTAGCTAGAGATATATCAATTTCATCTTTTCAAAGAAGCAGCTTTTAGTTTCACTGATCTTTCCTATGCTTTTTTTATTCTCCATTTTTCCCCCTCTGATCTTTATTATTTCCTTCCTTCTGCTAATTTTGGGCTTTGTTTGGTCTTTTTTGTAGTTCAAGTATAAAGTAAGATTGTTTACTTGGGAGGTTCCTTGCTTCTTGGTATAAGCCTGTATCACTAGGAACTTCCCTTGTAGAACTGCCATTGATGTGTCCCATAGATTCTGGAAAGTTTTTTTTTTTTTTTTTTAAGATTTTTATTTATTCATGAGACACACAGAGAAAGAGGCAGAGACACAGGCAGAGGGGAAAGCAGGCTCCATGCAGGGAGCCCGATGTGGGACTCGATCCTGGGACCCCAGGATCATGCCCTGAGCTAAAGGCGGCGCTAAACCGCTGGGCCACCCGGGCTGCCCCTGGAAGGTTGTTCTATTTTCATCATCCCATGGTATTTTTCAGTTTTCTCTTTGATTTCTTCATTGATCCATTGGTTGGTCAGTATCATGTTGCTTATTCCCCACATTTGTATTTTTTCCAGTTTTCTTCTTGTAATTGATTTCTAGTTTTATACTTTTGTAATCAGAGAAGTTGTTTAATATATTAGATTTTATTTTGCCTGAATTTGAGATATGACCTTTCTTGGAGAATACTCCACCTGCACTTGAAATGAATGTGTATTCTCTGGTTCTGGGATGAAATGGTCTGTATATATTATGTTCATCTGGTTTAAGGTATCGTTTAAGGCCAATGTTTCCTTATTGATTTTCTGTCTGCATGACACTGATTTAGTGGGGGTATTAAAGTCCCATATTGCAAGTGTATTGTTGTTGATATGTACTCTACATAGGTGCTATGTTTACAAATGTCATATCCTCTCATTGTATGGACTCTTGATCATCATGTGACACCCTTCTCTGCCTTTTGTTACAGTCTTTGTCTCAAAGTCTGTTTTGTCTAAGTATTGCTACGCCAGCTTTTTTTCCCATTCCATTTGCAGGGAATATCTTTCTCCATTCCTTTACTTTCACTGTGTTTAGGCCCAAAGTGTTTCTTGTAGGCAGCAGATAGGTTGTTTTTATTTTTATTTTTTTTTTAAAGATTTATTTATTTACTTCTGATAGAGAGAGAGAGAGAGAAAGAGAGGCAGAGACACAGGAGGAGGGAGAAGCAGGCTCCATGCACCGGGAGCCTGACGCGGGACTCGATCCCGGGACTCCAGGATCGCGCCCTGAGCCAAAGGCAGGTGCCAAACCGCTGAGCCACCCAGGGATCCCCAGATAGGTTGTTTTTAAAGTTTGTTTAGCTACATGGTCTTATGATTGGAGCGTATCAGTAGGATGTACTTACTGCCATTTTGTTAATCATTTCCTGGCTGTTTCTGTCATTCTCTGTATTTCTCTTGTGGTTTGATGGTTTTCTTTGGTGTTTGGGTTCCTTTTACTTTAAGGTTTTGGTTATCACAAGGTATATATATATATACCAACATATATAACTTCTAGTCCTTGGGGGGACAGCTGGGGCTAGCCTGGGCCAGGGCTAATCTGGTAGGCTGGCTGGAGTGGGCCAGCAAGGCACAGGCCAGAGTGTCCTGGTGTACTCAACACTAGTACCTCCCCAATGAGATGGCTGGAGTTGGCATGTACACAGGTTGAGGGGGGTCCCGGCCCACCATGCTGGAGTTGCCCTGGTGGGTTGGCTGTAGCAGGAGTGGGCACGGGCTGGGGGTGTACTGACGCACATTGTGCTGAGGCAGTGCTGGTGGGACATCTGGGGCAGGTGCAGGCCTGGCAGTTAGTTGGGAGGTCCTCTCTTTGCACATAGCCCTGCAGTTGCCAGGGTCTGGAGGCTCAGGGCTCAACGGGACAGCCCTGGAAGAGGGGTTAGAGGGCCTGGACCCTGCTCCAGTCAGGCTATCCAGGTAGAAGGGGAAAGTAAACGGTGGTGTTTATCAGCCCGTCAGCCCCAGGGAGTTCCAGCAGTTCTCCTATAGCTTGGCAGATATTGGAAGGATAGTAAACGGGCTTCCTTCACTGTCCTTTAAATTGATGTTCTGGTTTTGGGGTCCCCCCCCCATTGTGCCAGGGCTGGCGAGTCCGCATGCAGGCCCCTCAGTGCTGTTCCTCCCTGCTGTGGGCTGGCACTTCACGGGTGGGGTTCCCATCACCACCCTATGTCCATCTCTTAACCTTTCTCCGGGGGGGGGGGGGAGTGTCTCTCTGTCATTTGTGCAGAATGTCAGCCCTCAGGGGTTCTTCAGGAGGAACTGCTCTGTGTGTAAGTGTATGCAGATTTAGGGAGCTCAGGGTCTTTCTCTACCACCTCAGAACTCCTTGTTCTACTTGTTCAGGTTAGAACTCTTACGTGTCAGCGTCTGATTAGGTGTCAACATTGTAGAACTTACTACTCAAAAAGCTACTTATACCAACTTGCCACCTAATGTGGTTCCTTCAAATCAACTATGAACAAAGTAATACTCAATTTTGATGACAACCCAGCCTGAACAAGTAGACAAGTTAAGCTAACTTCTCAATTTTTATTTACAAAAGTACAGTATCCGGAGGCAACAGGCAATAGCAGGGGACTAGTCTTTATACAGTCACAGCTTAGTAGATGGGTCTCCTTTCTGGTCAAGGAGCTTCTCTAATCGATGGTTGATATTTTGCAGGTGGTTTTCAGCTCCCAAAAGGGCCCTCGCTGTCACTAACAGAGCTGGAAGGCTGGATGAATCATACTGTTGAAGGAAAATTATATTTAGATTAATAAGTTTAAAAAACTTCTATAATATTTGTTACACAGCTCAGTGTTAAGTAGAGCTTTGCATTAACTATTTTTTTCTAATTAGGGTCATTAAAAAAAACTGGGTTAATTCTTTTTCTTAGGGCAGAAGTAACAAGGTTATAAGGGAACTGCTCTAGAAAGTGTAGGCTGGTCTTCTCTCAGAAGACCAGCTGGTTCCAAGAACAGTGGCATCTAAATTATTTAAAACAAAATCATTCCTCATACAGATTGAGACTGAGTTTGGGCAAGTCCGCTGACCTCAAGCCTATTTTAAACCCAGAAAACTCTAAGGCAGCTGCACTTTTACTGGAAGAACTATGGGAAGGGCAACACCAGGCCACAGAAGTTCAGGAGGAAAAAAATCATCACCCAGAAAAACCGATGGGGAAGGTTAAAGGCAAAATTAGGATGTAACCCAACATAAAATAGAAATCAAATCGTGGGGCTGAGCTGCATGCTGTAACCATAGCTGAGGACAAGGGACTGTGCTTCCCCTGCAAGTGTGCTCACACTGAGGATAAGGGTGTAATTTCATGTTTTCAAGGTGTTTTCCTTACTATTGACAAGAGCAGCTTTCAGCAGATTCCTACCACCACATAATAATGCAGTTCTTTTTAGACTATAACCGGTTACTACTCTGGACTCCAGTCAGAGACACTGAGAGCCTGATGCAGCCCAGCTGGCAGGGCCACTTGCTCTCAGGCAGGCGACAGGGGGAGCACTGACACTTGGTGGAAGATCTCTGGTTTAGGAGAGATGACATGCACACAAATACCAACTGCCCGGAAAGGAAGACACTACCAGAGAGCACAGAAGGCCTGCGGGCATGCAAAGAACACATTAGAGTAGTGTACCCCACAAAGTCGAATCCTGGGAGGGAGGGGCAAGATGGCGGAAGAGCAGGGTCCCCAAATCACCTGTCCCCACCAAATTACCTAGATAACCTTCAAATCATCCTGAATATCTACGAATTCGGCCTGAGATGTAAAGAGAGACCAGCTGGAATGCTACAGTGAGCAGAGTTCGCGCTTCTATCAAGGTAGGAAGACGGGGAAAAAGAAATAAAGAAACAAAAGGCCTCCGAGGGGGAGGGGTCCCGCGAGGAGCTGGGCTAGGGCCGGGGCGAGTGTCCCCAGGACAGGAGAGCCCCGTCCCGGAGGAGCAGGAGCTGCACCAACCTTCCCGGGTGGAAAGGGGCTCGCAGGGAGTTGGAACAGGACCCAGGAGAGCGGGGATGCCCTCGGGCTCCCGGGACACTAACAGACACCTGCGACCGCAGGGGAGTGCTCCGAGCTCCCTAAGGGCTGCAGCGCGCACGGCGGGGACCCGGAGCAGCTCGGAGGGCTCGGGAGCGGCTCCAGGGAGGGAGCTGCGGGGCGGGAGCGCGAATCCAACAGCGCAGGCCCCGGAGCACAGGGCGCCGGGACACAGCCCAGGATCCCGCCTCCCCCGGGACAGGCAGAGGCCGGGAGGGCCCAGGACAGCGAGGACGCTCCTGCCCCGAGCTGAGCAGATCAGCGGCCCCGCCCCGGAGCCTCCAGGCCCTGCGGACGGAGAACCGAGAGCCCCGAGCCCCGTAGTTCCTGCGGAGGCTGAATCCAGGCTTCCAGAGTTGCCATAGCAACTGCGGCTGATCCTCCTGGGGCCCCACAGGGTAAACAACCCCCGCTGAGCCCTGCAGCAGGCAGGGGCAGAGCAGCTCCCCCAAGTGCTAACACCTGAAAATCAGCACAGCAGGCCCCTCCCCCAGAAGACCAGCTAGACGGACCAGTGATACTCCCCCGTGTTCCAATACAACTTGTTTCTGGCCACTCTGCACTGAGCAAAATGACTAGAAGGAAAACCTCACCTCAAAAGAAAGAATCAGAAACAGCCCTCTCTCCCACAGAGTTACAAAATCTGGATTACACTTCAATGTCAGAAAGCCAATTCAGAAGCACTATTCTACAGCTACTGGTGGCTCTAGAAAAAAGCATTAAGGACTCACGAGACTTCATGACTGCAGAATTTAGATCCAATCAGGCAGAAATTAAAAATCAATTGAATGAGATGCAATCCAAACTAGAAGTCCTAACGACGAGGGTTAACGAGGTGGAAGAACGAGTGAGTGACATAGAAGACAAGTTAATGGCAAAGAGGGAAACTGAGGAAAAAAGAGACAATCAATTAAGGGACCATGAAGACAGATTAAGGCAAATAAATGACAGTCTAAGGAAGAAAAACCTACGTTTAATTGGGGTTCCCGAGGGCGCTGAAAGGGACAGAGGGCCAGAATATGTATTTGAACAAATCCTAGCTGAAAACTTTCCCAATCTGGAAAGGGAAACAGGCATTCAGATCCAGGAAATAGAGAGATCCCCCCCTAAAATCAATAAAAAACCGTTCAACACCTCGACATCTAATAGTGAAGCTTGCAAATTCCAAAGATAAAGAGAAGATCCTTAAAGCAGCAAGAGACAAGAAGTCCCTGACTTTCATGGGGAGGAATATTAGGGTAACAGCAGACCTCTCCACAGAGACGTGGCAGGCCAGAAAGGGCTGGCAGGATATATTCAGGGTCCTAAATGAGAAGAACATGCAACCAAGAATACTTTATCCAGCAAGGCTCTCATTCAAAATGGAAGGAGAGATAAAGAGCTTCCAAGACAGGCAGGAACTGAAAGAATATGTGACCTCCAAACCAGCTCTGCAAGAAATTTTAAGGGGGACTCTTAAAACTCCCCTTTAAGAAGAAGTTCAGTGGAACAATCCACAAAAACAAGGACTAAATAGATATCATGATGACACTAAACTCATATCTGTCAATAGTAACTCTGAACGTGAATGGGCTTAATGACCCCATCAAAAGGCGCAGGGTTTCAGACTGGATAAAAAAGCAGGACCCATCTATTTGCTGTCTACAAGAGACTCATTTTAGACAGAAGGACACCTACAACCTGAAAATAAAAGGTTGGAGAACCATTTACCATTCAAATGGTTCTCAAAATATACCCTAAAAACTATAGAACACTTCTGAAAGAAATTGAGGAAGACACAAAGAGATGGAAAAATATTCCATGCTCATGGATTGGCAGAATTAATATTGTGAAAATGTCAATGTTACCCAGGGCAATTTACACGTATAATGCAATCCCTATCAAAATACCATGGACTTTCTTCAGAGACTTAGAACAAATTATTTTAAGATTTGTGTGGAATCAGAAAAAACCCCAAACAGCCAGGGGAATTTTAAAAAAGAAAACCGTATCTGGGGGCATCACAATGCCAGATTTCAGGTTGTACTACAAAGCTGTGTTCATCAAGACAGTGTGGTACTGGCACAAAAACAGACACATAGAACAATGGAACAGAATAGAGAACCCAGAAGTGGACCCTGAACTTTATGGTCAACTAATATACGATAAAGGAGGAAAGACGATCCACTGGAAGAAAGACAGTCTCTTCAATAAATGGTGCTGGGAAAATTGGACATCCACATGCAGAAGAATGAAACTGGACCACTCTCTTGCACCATACACAAAGATAAACTCAAAATAGATGAAAGATCTAAATGTGAGACAAGATTCCATCAAAATCCCAGAGGAGAACTCAGGCAACACCCTTTTTGAACTTGGCCACAGTAACCGGAGAAGGACAAACAGTGTATGTTCTCATTCATTTGGGGAATATGAATAATAGTGAAAGGGAATATAAGGGAAGGGAGAAGAAATGTGCGAGAAATATCAGAAAGAGAGACAGAACATAAAGACTCCTAACTCTGGGAAATGAACTAGGGGTGGTGGAGGGGGAGGAGGGCGGGGGGTGGGGGTGAATGGGTGACGGGCACTGAGGGGGACACTTGACGGGATGAGCACTGGGTGTTATTCTGTATGTTGGTAAATTGAACACCAATAAAAATTAATTTATAAAAAAAAAAAAAAAAAAAAGTCGAATCCTATCCAAACTCCAGCAGGGCCACGAACATCTCTAGTCCCCAACTCCAAGTAAGCTTTAGACTAGTTGGCAAACTAGTCACAGAAAACATTCATTGAGAAGATCTAATTTCTATTTTCAGATTTAAGGCTTTTAAGTTAGTGGAAAAAACTTAAAATTGAATGTAGGGAAGAATATAAGTATAAGATACATGTATTTACATTTCATATTAAGTTATATTCGTTTTCTTTTTCTATAATTTAAATTTCTATTGATCTGAGCTGGTTATCCTAACAATAGCATCGTCTGCAGCAAAAATCCAGAAGCCACAAGTTGTATTAAAATAACCCCACCTTTCCCTACTGTGTCCCTTCTGTGTGTCCCAACTTCTAAAATTATACCTACCAGGTAAAGGGGAGAATGGCTTTTTTCAGGTAAAAGAAAAGCTACCATGAGCAAGGGTGGAACAAAAGAAAAGCCGTGTGGCCTTCCGGTGATGAGTGTACGAAGCAAAGTCGTGTGAGTGCGGCATACAGAGGACACCCCTCTCTTGCCCAGTCATTTCTCTTAAGTGCAAATACGTTCATAAAGTCAGCGTGTCCAGACCATCCTCTCTTCCTCTAGCCTTAAGTAGCTCGAGCTGATGGATTCGCAGCGCTGCTGTGTGGGCAGACTGGAATCTGCACCCACATCTCTCCCCAGAGCTCCCGCGGAAGTACTCCACCGTGCAAGTGCCCTGAACCTTCTCAATCACAGTGAATTTTAAAAATTGCAGTTACCGTTTCCTTTACATGAGGTTCTTTCTCTCGAGTAGCCGAATAATCTTGATGAAGCTGTTTCAGGTTAGATAAGAAGCCTGCGACATCCCTAAGGGAAGATTTTCTCTCCATGAGTTCATCATGCTTTATCTGGAGTTGCTTCATCTGTGGTTCTAACCTGCAACACAACAGTTTCCCCTAAATGAAGGGCTCCAGGAAAGTGTAACAGCCTCGGGGGAAGAGGCCGAGTGTGGAAGGGAGGGGGCTAGGGCTTTGAAGAGGCCTTCAGTTTTGAAATTATGAATGTGTGACAGGGTCTAGATTTCAATTTAAAATATAGACAAAACTAGGGCAGCCCTGGTGGCTCAGCAGTTTAGCGCCACCTTCGGCCCGGGGTGTGATCCTGGAGACCCCGGATTGAGTCCCACGTCAGGCTCCCTGCATGAAGCCTGCTACTCCCTCTGCCTGTGTCTCTGGCTCTGTCTCTAAAACAAAACAAAACAAAACAAACCCCTAAATATAGACAAAACTCTGAAATATGATACAGAGTAATTAGAAATGAAACCCTGAGAAGAAAGATGCCTTGCACATCCTACAACCCAGTTGACCATTTAGAGGGACTCCAGGGATCTCCTGCATCTCCTGCATGACAGCAACGTGGCCAGCTCCTCCCAGCCTTGGGCTGGGACTGGGCCCCGCGGCGGGCGCAGCAGCAGAAGCGCAGCAGGGCCTGGCCTTTGCCCAGTTCCCAACATCTAGTAAAACCAGAGGAAAAACTTCCAGAGCGCCTGGGTGGAAAATGCACGGGTAAGACTACTTTCTGTCTCTGTCTTAAGTTTCTTACCTATAAAATAAAAAAGGATATCTTGAATTTTATGGACGGGGAAGGGTAGAAGCTGCCAATTTTTCTTAAAGATCAAAAGCAAGTATCCTGCAGTATAATTTTAGGAAAGTCCTTTAACAGTTGTTTCTGTTGAACAAACGCAGCATTGTGGAAAAGCTGATGAGGGTTGTGGTCAGGGGTGCAGATTTCGCAGCCCGTGTCTGCAGACACGAGATCCTGACTCCCTGCTTCCTAGGGGCAGGACTGGGGGTGAGTTCCCTCCCCCAGGCCTGAGGTTTCCCACGTGAAAGTTAAAATCCCAATGCCCTGCATGTTCTTTCTAGGTCTTTTCAAGATGTACTTTTCAACTTTGAGAATTTTATCTAGAAAAGGAACGGAGAGGCTGGTCTCTAAAAAGGTCTGGTTCTTATCATACAGACATCATAACCCACAGACTGGACTAGAAGCCCACGGGCTGGACCCCCCACCTCACCCCATCCTACCCTCCTCTGCCCTCTCTCCTTTAAAACTCGCCCCTGTAACTGCAGGCTGTCTTCTCTGATGAGACCACTTTCTCGCCCCGTTTTTTTGCAGCTCCTGGGAGCAGACAGCCGAGCCTTATTTCTCCACTGCATTCCCGCAGCCCTCAGCTCACACGGCAGGTGCTGGCCTCGGGAGGTGACCACGGGGACAGCCCGGGGGGACACCCCAGCCGCTCTCCAAGCCCCGCACATGGTGAGGGCCTGCGCCAGCACCACACTGACAACAGCAACCCTGTGAGCGCTACAGGGCGCTCGCTGAACTTGGCGTGTGTTTATGCACTTGGTTCTCCAGCACCCGGCCGGTACGTGAGGCTTCCTGTTGGCAGGCGTGCTGGAGGCTGCCCCAAGGTGGCCTGGCCCAGAGCCTCTGCACGCGGCCACCAGCAGGTGGCGGGAGGTCAGCGCTCAGGGCTCCTCGGCCGACAGCTCCGGCTCGCAGCGCCTTCCCCGGGCTGCCAGGCTCAGGGACACTGGGATGCGGGCCCATGACAGACCCCAGGGGCCAGGGGCCAGTGGCCAGGCCGTGGCTAAATCCTTCCCAGCAAGTTCTGGGCTGTTCTGGCATCACCTTACCGAAGCAGTTCATTCTGGAGTTCAAGCAGATGCCGCTTCTTCTTCTCAATGTCGGAAATAACCTAAAGTGACACGAGGATTTGTTAAAATCGCTCCTTAAATCTGTGCACGATGCTTGCTCCCCGGAACCAGGTGTTAGAGATGCGGCGGGAGACAGACTCCCCGCAGCCCCCAGAACTGGGCTCGGAGGGGCAGAGACCCCACATCACAGCGCACGGGGCTGGGGGGGGGGCGATGGGTGCTGCCGGTGGGGGTGGGGAGGCCGGGGATGGGACCGGCGGGAACACAGGCAGCAGGGCAAGGGCTTCACCCTCTGTGAGCTGCCCAGGACGGCCTTGGCCGCTTCTGTAGGTGTGCCGGGAAAACACGAGGAGGACAGTGCCCTGAGCCAGCCCGTATTTATCATCTCGGCCATGGCTTTCAGGGATGACCAGACGTCCCACGGCTGGACATTCAGACTGTTCCCACTTGCTGGTAAGTAACACAGAGGTGACCAGTAAGGAATAAAACTGAAGGAAAAAGCCTGTAATCACTGAAACGACAATGTGTGCATCCCAAATCCACTGCTATTATAAATGTCGAGGGGGAGCTGCTCCTTCACACCAGGATTCATGCAAGTTTACAGCTTGGAGGTCACCTGGGTCGCCCATAAACTGATGGGTGTTCACTGGCTTGTTTCTCCTCACATATTCTAAGGATATGTGAAGGGTTTCCAAAAAGATGGTACAAGATCGAAGTAGCAGAACCAGGACAAGAAATGTCCTTCACCCCACCCCTAACGCCGTAGTCTTCCCATGCCGTCCCTTGACATGGGACAGTTCTTATTCTAGAAGGTTTTACTCTTTGACAGTCATAAAAGCCATAAATATGTTATTTAACAACTATTTATTAGCTAATACCATGGAAGTGGTTATTTGGGGCTTGACAGCCATTTTAGGCTGGGTGGGATCCCCACCCCTCAGCATGCATTCATAGTACACAACCACAAGACCCACCAAATAAAAGCCTGACTGAAAAAAACAACTCTTCTACAAAGCGAGGGTCCTAAAACCCAGAGGCAGGATGTCACTTAGCTCTGCAGGTGTCAGTGTTGTATGTTACTACGCTTCTTAATCACACCAGTGATTTACCTTCATGTTCTTCCTTTTCAGAGTTTTTGACATCTGGAATTCTTTAAGCTGCACAAAAGAAAAAAGCATTTTAATTTTGGAAAATACACACAAATATTTATTTACTCACAATACATCATATTTAGTTTAAAAACAGCCTGGGAAACATGAGTACTCAGTTCTCACGAATTCTTTACCACGTCACTACAAATGCAATTTTTTCGGAAATAACCATAAGCTGTCTCAGGATTAGCAAAACAAATCTAGACCAAGAAATGTATGTCAATGAACTTACCATTTTGATGAGTTCTTCTTTCACATCAGAATGAAACTCTTTGATGGCTTCCTTACAAGTTTTAGATTCTACGTTTTGCCTGTAGCAGGGAGAAAACAAAGCTCAAACGGTACCCTATAAAGGAGGCTGAAAAGTATGTTTCATTTGCTTATTTAGCACATGAGCAAGCCATGACGTGGCGTGCACCATCTTGAGTGTCTAGGATAGCACGGCTAAAGATAGTTCTCGGGCTTAAAAAACAACACTTAGGGATGCCTGGGTAGCTCAGTGGGTTAAGTGGCTGTGTTGGACTGAGGTCCTGATCCGCGGTCCTGGGGTCGAGCCCCACGTTGATCGTGGAGCCTGCTTCTCCCTCTGTCCTCCTCCCCCCCGCTTGTGCACTCACTCTCGCGTGCTCTCTCAAATAAGTAAAATATTTTTTAAAAAACATTCTCAACAGAAGAGAAAGAACAGGAAACATTTTCCTCTAAACCTTCAGGTAGGTGGTCAGCTTCACTTCTTGACACTGGCGACGTCCACAGGTGAAGGCAAGCGGTGTGGAAAGCATTACAGCCGGTCCCTGTCCCCCTGTCCTGCCACCCGGTCCAGTGAGCAGCAGGCCTCGGCCCCTCCCTGCCTGCCACCAGCTGGAGGGGTAAGTGAGGAACATCTGGATTAACCAACAAGCAGGGAGAGGCCAGCTGGACCGAAGCAGCCAAAAGTCAATTCTTCAAGCCCTTCCACAGCTGACCCTAACCAACTGGTTTTGGTCCCTGTCATCAGGAAAAGGGAGCCCAGGTCTCCCCGTGTGGCTCCCACAGCCACATGCAGACCCACAGTGCGCAGCAGCGGCACCACCTCCCGCGACAGCAGCTAACCCCCTACTCTGCTTCGGCGCCGCAGGATACTAGAAAGGGTCCTTTAAGTTGAAAGTAATAAACATTTTGTATAAGCGACGGGTAATTAGAAAATGGTTTCTTTCTTGGGGGAACTCCACATGCAGGAACAAGTCCCTCGGCAGAAGGGGACCGAGCTCAGCAGAACACTGAGAAGAGGCGGCCTGTACTTTCTAATACAGATGTCTAAGTTCTCATCAAAAAAGAGTATTAAAAGGTATTTCTAGTGACACCAGCAGGACAGCAGAATAGGAAGCCCCAGACCAGATTCCCTCCACAGGGAAACCAACTTAACTATATACAGCCCACAAAGCCTTATGAGAATTCCAGAAACAAATTAAGAAGTTGCAGGCAAGTTCGAGGTCAAGAACTGTCCTACTGAAACGGAAGAAAAGCAGTTTCACAGCAACTTCAACAGCCCATCTCCCACGCAGGCTTGGTTCTTTCGAGAAACTCAGTGCATGGTTTCTCCCTTGGGAAAGAAAACATAATGTGTCTTCAAACATTCTGGCTTTTCAGGGGGCTGCCTGAGGGAGTCCTTTCCATCTTGCCTGATCTGGAATGCTAACAGAACCAGCACACTTGGGGCAGCCCGGGTGGCTCAGCGGCTTAGCACCGCCTTCAGCCCAGGGCATGATCCTGGAAACCCGGGATCGAGTCCCACGTCGGGCTCCCTGCATGGAGCCTGCTTCTCCCTCTGCCTGTGTCTCTGCCTCTCTCTCTCTCTCTCTCTGTTTCTCACGAATAAATAAATAAAACCTTAAAAAAAAAAACAAAACACACCAGACTTTGGATGCCTGGCTGCCACGGAAAAGAGAGTTCAGTGGTTTGTTCTAACAACAGAGAACCGGAAACGCTACAGACAGGAGCTCAGGACAAATTGCCCAGGTCATGCCTTCTCCCCTGGGAGGGAAAGAGAAAAGGAGAATGTTATCCAACGTTTGGAATGGTTTCTGTGTCACTCGAAGTAGAGGAATGGTGGGAACTGAAATAGCCTGGATGCCTCTGATGACAGAGATCAAAAATGAGCTGAGCAGCTTGTTGCCGCACCGGAGCCTACAGTGCCGCAGAGAGACACCAGAGGGGGCTCTAGTCTCGAGAGATTATAAATCCCAACAAAAGAAAGCCCAAACCTCCCTAGTTGGGCAACCACATGCACAAGCCCAGAGAACAGACATCCTCAGAAAAGGATTAAGACCATCCAGACTGGCAAAGGAGATGGCTGCTTTTAAACTGTACAAAACACAGCAAAAGATAAGGCACTAGAATAAACAAGAAAACATAACCCAGTCAAGAGGGAAATAAACCCCCAGAAATATTTATTCCTAAATAAAGAAATGGAGGCCTATGAATTTGCTAACAAAGAACTCAAAAATCATCTTAACTTCAAAATTCAAAGGCAAAACCAGAATCTTGAAAATAGCAAGAGAAAAGCAAGTTGTCACGTACAAGGGAACTCCCATAACATGGTCAGTGCATTTCTCAGCAGAGACATTACAGGACAGGAGGGTGGGAGGACATACACAAAGCACTGAAAGACACAAGCGCCAACCAAGAACACTGTACTTGGCAGACTTATCCTTCAAAAACTGAGAAATATGGGCAGCCCTGGTGGTGCAGCAGTTTAGTGCCGCCTGCAGCCCAGGGTGTGATCCTGGAGACCCGGGGTTGAGTCCCACATCAGGCTCCCTGCGTGGTGCCTGCTTCTCCCTCTCCCTGGGTCTCTGCCGTTCTCTGTGTGTCTCTCATGAATAAATAAAATCTTTAAAAAAAAAACTGAGAAATACTTTCCCAGATAAACAAAGGCTGGGTTCATCATCACTAGACCTGCTTATAAGAATTACTAAAGGGAGTCCTTCATGTTGAAACAAAAAGACAATAACACAAAGGCATATGAAATTATAAAGGTCTCTGGTAAAGGTAAATACATAGATGATCACTATGCTAAGAGGCAAGATACTGCCATTTCACTAAAATCTCAGAAATCTCTAAGTCTTTTCTTCCTTTTGAAGAGATTTATGAATGGGAAAAGGATAACACAGTGGAGACAGTCTTGGGTAGGTGAAAGACCTTCTGTGCCAATTTTAACAGCAAATTGATTTTGGAACATACAGTACCAGAAAAAAAAAGGGGGGGGACACTGTACAGAAGAATAAAATAGACAATTCCCACAAAGATAATAACAAGTCAGTATGACAGGCTGGCTTCTTTCTCCAAGATTAACTCCAGAAGAACCAAAGAGGGAAATCCGCCCCCACCCCCTGTGGGGAAAGCTGTGAAAATTCCCAAGGTGAGAGAAAGACGTATTTAAAATGGGTGAACTGGTGAGAGGGGAGGTGGCTGTGGCCCAAGACAGGAAAGGGGACAGGAAAGGAGATGTCAAGGTTGGCCTCTGCTGCTTCCCCAGCATGCTCCTCACAAGCTGTGCCTCCCTAACAGCTGCAGCCAATCAGACCTCTGTCCCTGTGTCTTTAAGAGTAAAACCTGGGCTGTGTTTGTGGGGCCTGGAGACAAAGTGGAGACTGCCTTGGTCTCCTCCATCTTCCCTGCTAAACCCTCAGGGCTGGAGAATGATAATCTGAGGAGTGCAGCAGCTCTGAATGCTACTTATCTCTGGAGGACAAAGGTTAAATCCTGACCTGACAGGTTACTTTGCAGGATAAGTGACTGAGGCTTCCTACCCTAGGCCTTATCCACCCTCATTACTGGCACTTCTGGGAATGGACAGGAATCAAGGTTTGGGTCTTCCCTCATACCCACTGTCTGTCTGACCAAGCAGCTGACAGACCCAGGGGTAAATAAGCTCATAGGCTGGAGTAACAACACACTGGAGGAATACAACTGCATCAAAGAGAAAAACTGTTAGATCAGAAATTCTAAGAGAAGCAGGTATTTCATAATAGATGAACCAGTATTTTGAAATTAGCCTAATAAATACTCTGAAGAGAACAGTAGCAACATAAAACATAAGACATAAAAGAGAACCAAATAGAAACGTTAGAGAAAAAGTTATATGGCTACATACTGAACTCTACAGTAGATGGGATAAATGACATAATGGAGATAGCGGAGAAATAAATTAGCAAACTTCTAGTTTCTAGACTGAGGATGTATAGAAAAAAACAGAGAACATGGATATAATATTAGCAAGAACAAACATTTTTTTAACTTTGGAATTAAAAAAGAACCACCTTAGACTGGAAAGGTCAGACCCAATATAGTGAAACCAAAGCCTATCACAGACAAAATATTCTAAAAGCTTTGAAAGAGCAGATCACATGTAAACAAGACTTCAACAGACACCAAATTTTCCAAGTCAACAGTAGATGCAAAAGACAAAGGAATAGTGACTCAGAAGTATTTAAGTAAGTTATTTAGAACCTAGAATACTATATCCAGCTAAAATGTCATTCAAATTCAGTGTCATGACCATAATAATCCAAAGGATTTAGAATTTTACAGCATAAAGAGCCTCACTCAAAAGGGTTGGAATGAAGCACTTAGATAAGAGATACTACCAGAGGCTGGTGTAAGAAATATGTGAAATAAAGGTGATCAGATAAATACCTTAATAAGGGTTGTTGCTATCTTAAGAGAGAAGAGAAAAAATACTATCTTACCCCAGAAGTAAAAATCTCTAGGGTAGGGGAAAGGGAGAGGTGACCAAGAGTTAAGGGAGTGTGCCAAAGTTCTAATCTTATTAGTGGAGAGTTACAAATTCTATTTTTTAAAAAAGTTCTAATTAAAAACATCAAAGTAGAACAACAAAAAAAATCTAAAGTAGTAAAAATATATCAACACATTCTTCCACATATATTAATAATTATAATAAATGTAAATGGACTAAGTCAAAGATGGACACATTGGATTTAAACTTTATTCTTTCTTTTTTTTAAGATTCTATTTATTTATTTGAGGAGAGAGCATGCATGCATGCACAATCAGGGGGAGGGGCAAAGGCAGTGGGAGAAGCAGCTTCTCACTGAGCAGGAGGACCCTGTAATCATGACCTGAGTCAAGGGCAGATGCTTAACCAAGTGAGCCACCCAGGTGCCCCTAACCTTTACTATTTCTTATAAAAAAAATGTTTAAGGTTAGACAAAGGCTGGAAATAAAAGGAAGGAAAAAGATATAAATTCTAGCAAATGCTAGCAAAAGAAATCTAGTGGCATAATACTAGTATCAGATCAAATAGATTTTAAGACAAAAACATTTTTAGGAATGGATAGGGTACCACAGGATAAAATGTTCAATCTACAAGACAGAGCAATTTTAAACATGATGTCCTAATAGAATCGTTTCTAAATATATATATCATTAATTGGTAAAAAGAATCAGGAAAAATAATACTGATTCTAAATAGATCCAATAATTAGGTTCTCCATAGATTACGTGCTAGGCCATAAAGAAAGCCCCAAAATTACAAAAAATACCACTAGTCCATCAAATTTGATCATGACATATTTAAGATACAAGCTTAATACAAAAAATATAAATTAAAAAGTCACATATATGGACATTCCAAAACATACTATTATATAATTCACAGGATTAAAGACAACAATTATAATGGAAATATAAAAATATGTAACTAGATGATGAAAATACATCAAAAGCCTTGGGATGAGCAAAAGTGGTGCTTCAAGGAAAATTCATTGGGAGTATATATCACATCAAGAGACTTACTCATACTCTAGGATGGTTTTCTCAAATGCAGACAAAACAACATCTAATTCTGTGATGTCACTGGCTTTCTTTCCTTTCAGACACCAAATATGTACACAGTCGGAAATATCTAGAATATTAAATAAGTCAATTATTAAATTATTATGATTATATCTGATTATATCTGGGCTCTAGACCCAGGGTTCTGAAAGTCGACAACAAAAACTGTCCCACCAGAATGCCAAAAATACCTACGGTTGAAGAGGTACATGGGAGGGGACAGGACTCACTTCTCCCCATGCCAAATGGGGACTCCCCATGCAGTCTCACAAATCTCCGTCTATACTGTCACTAACTGCTGCCTCCTCGGTTCTCCCATTTCTACTGCAAGAGCCTGAAGTACTGCTGACTCAGAACTACCCACCGCACCTTTACTTAACAGTCTGCTGCTACCCAACACTACTGGTAACAGAGCTCCTTGTTAATTGTATTTTCTTTATTTTAATCTACGTAGTAGGCCACTTCTAGAACACAAAGATCCCTCAGTGTGCTGATTCAGCCTCAGTAATATGGATGAAACATGACACATGCAATAAGACGGGGTTGTAGAATACTTAATGATGTGGATATGATCCCATTTTGGATGAGAAGTTTCGGTAAAAGGATTGAAGAGTATATACCAAAAAGCAGGGTGGCTATTTTTGGGTGACAGGACTGTAGGTGATTTTATCTTCCTTTCTACACTTTCCAAATTTTCTAAACATATAGGACTTATCTTTTAAAAGAAATAAAGCAAAGAGAGAAAATGGTTCATTTTCCTCCCATTTTTCAATAAGCTTTTATTTGTATCAATAAAAATGCAGAACAATGTGGGTGAATCTCAAAAAAGTTATGCCGAATGGAAAAAAAAAAAACACCTTTATATGAAAGGGTACAAACTGTGGTGTATGAAAAGTATACTGTGTGATTAAAAATTGAGGTGATAAAATCTAGGAGCATAAATATATATTGTAAGAATCTTTCACCTTTGCTGCAGGTTGAAAATTTTCACAACAGATGTTGGAAAAAATCAGTTACTACAATGTCACATTTTTTTTTTTTTAGCTTTTTAAAATACCACTTTTATATACTTACCATTTACTACTTTAACAACAACAAAACGTTTTTAAAATGAAATCCTTGAATGCTCAGCAAAGTATAAAACACTATTCTGTACCTGAGTCTACGGCTTTACTTCTTGATTTCTTCCTTTTGCCACAAAATATCTCCTTTTTCTGAGTTTTCTACAAAAAAAAAAAAAAAAAAGCAGCAAAGATGTTTGTCTTCCTTCTCTTAAAACAAGTATTTGACAACAGTATTATCAAACACTCTCAATTCTAGCTATTACTTTCATTTAGTTTTAAACGTTATTATGTATACCACTTAAAATAATATAAAGAGACATTGAAAAAACTAAGCTGCCCCAAAATAAAAAAGTAAATGAACTTATAGTTGGCTTTTAACAATGATTGCCTTAGAGGAAGTTGAATCCTAATTAGTTAAGGTAATTATGTGTGGAATCAGTTTGATCTCTGCTCCAGGCTATGAAGAAGGAACAGCTTCTGAACAAGCTCCCCTGCCACAATCAACCACCAAATGGGGTGGGGAGACAACCTTATTTAGGTCTAAGACACCAGGTATGCAGGGGAACCGAGAAGGGGAACCGCTAGGAATGCCTGATCCCCTGCCGCCCCCACGCGGGGGGACGCCTTTGCCAGCAGCATGGCCAGCTAAGTCCCAGCACAGCTGGGTACTCCTGCTCCTGCTGGGGCAATGGAAACCAGACGACAGCAACAGAAGCACTTGGAACAGGACTCCTTAGAAAAGAGCATCAGGGGCGCCTGGGTGGCTCAGTCAGTGAAGCATCTGTCTTCTACTCAGGTCATGATCTCAGGGTCCTGGGTCCGAGCCCAGCTTGAGGCTCTGCGCTCAGTGGGGAGCCTGCCCTCCCCCCACCCCTCTAATAAATAAATAAAATCTTTAAAAAAGAGCATTAGGAGTGTAGGAAGTTCCTGGATCCTGCATTCATGCAGAATGAGCCTACATCAACTTCCTAGAAAGTGTCTAGTAGCATGAGATTAAGAATGTAAAGGGTACAGGATCCCTGGGTGGCTCAGGGGTTTAGCCTCTGCCTCTGGCCCAAGGCGTGGTCCTAGAGTCCCTGGATCGATTCCAGCATTGGGCTCCCTGCATGGAGCCTGCTTCTCCCTCTGCCTCTCTCTCTCTCTCTCTCTCTCTGTCTCTCATGAATAAATAAATAAAATCTTAAAAAAAAAAAAAAGAATGTAAAGGGTAGGGGCACCTGGGTGGCTCAGCAGTTGAGCATCTGCCTTCGGCTCAGGTCGTAATCCCAGGGTCCTGGAATCGAGTCCCACATTGGGCTCCTGCAAGGGAGCCTTCTTCTCCCTCTGCCTATGTCTCTGCCTCTCTCTCTGGGCCTCTCATGAATAAATAAAATCTTAAAAAAAAAAAAAAGAATGTGAAGGGTACTAGAAATAGAGAACACAATGGGAGGGAGCGGGGGAGGCAGAGGACCTCAAGCAGACTCTACCCAGCAGAGAGCCCAACAGGGTCTTGATCTCACTATCACTACCCCGAGATCATAGCCTAAGCTGAAATTAAGAGTCAGACATCTAACCAACGGAGCCGCCCAGGCGCCTCCATTCACTGCAGGTTTTAAATGGCAGATTGGTCAGTGAAATTGAAAACAAAGCAATAAAAATTTATCCAATCTGCAGATCAGAGAGAAAATGTTTGGGGAAAAAAATAAAGATCAGAGTCACAAGAGCCTGTGTGACAATATCAAAGATCAAAAATATACATAAGAATTCTCAAAGAGTCAGAATGGCATAGAAAAATTAAATTTAAGAAAAAAACGACTGGAATTGTCCAACTTACAGATCCAAGAAGCTCAGTAAACCCTAAAGCAAGATAAAAACACACTTAAGTATACCATGTTTAAAAATGCCAAAAAACAAAGATAAGCCAAAAATCTTGACAATAGAGAAAAGGGACAGAGTAAATATACATGAGAACAATAAGTCTCACAGCCTTCTCGGAGAAACAACAGAGAACAGAAAACAACAGAAAGACATAATTAAAGAGCTGAGAGGAAAAATATGTCAACCCAGAATTCTACACCCAGTGAATACATCTTTTAAAAATAGGGGTGAATAAACACACTTTCAGATAAAGAAAATTTGAGAGAATTTGTTGCCAGCAGACCTGCATTAAAAGATACTACAGGATAGTCTTTGGGCTGAAGAAAAAAGGTATCAGCAGGAAATTCACATCTTTAGGAAGGAGAAAAGACAATGGGAAAAGAAAAATCAAATTAGAAGGGGGGGCACCTGGCTGGCTCACTTGGCAAAGCATGAGACTCTTGATCTCAGGCCCCATGTTGGGTGTGGAGCCTACTTAAAGAGAATACATTTTTAAAAAATTGAGTGGGTAGGGTGTCTGCGTGGCTCAGTGGTTGAGCGTCTGCCTTCGGCTCAGGTCGTGATCCTGGGGCTCTGGGATCCAGTACCGCACTGGGCTCCCTGCAGGGAGCCTGATTCTCCCTCTGCCTGTGTCCCTGCCTCTCTCTGTGGGACTCTCATGAATAAATAAACGAAATCTTAAAAAAAAAAATGGGTAACATATAACATAAACTATATTTTTCTTAAAATTTTTTTCAAAGATTTTATTTATTTGAGAGGGAGAGAGAGATCACAAGTGAGAGCATGAGCAGAGAGGAGAAGAAGCAGCCTCCCCACTGAGCAGGAAGTCCGATGTGGGGCTCGATCCCAGGACCCTGGAATCATGACCTGAGCTGAAGGCAGATGCTTAACTAACTGAGGCACCCAGGTGCCCCTCTTCTCATAAATTCAAGGAAAAATGACAACTTGTATGGTTAGGTTCACAATGTATGTAGAAGTAAAACATGTGACAAAAGTAGCACAGAGGGTGATGGACAGATACACAGAATATATGGTTAAGTAATTAGATTTATGCAGTGGGAAGCAGTTAACTATCAGGAAGTAGCATGTATGAGGTGGTAACATACTGACCTGAGTAGACTTTGCCAACTGAAGGGCGCATATTTTTAACCCAGGAGCAACCACCCTTAAAAAACTAAGAGGCATAGCTAAGAAGCCAGTAAAGAAAAGAAAACAGAACACCAAAATATATTCAGTTAATCCAAAATTAGCAACAGAAGGGGAAAGTATGAAGGGCAGGTGGAAAACAATATAGAGGACTGTAGACTTGAACCTAATTTTTTTTTTAAAGATTTTATTTATCATTTGTCAGAGTAAGAGAGAGTACAAGCAGGGGGAGGCACAGGGGAAGAGGGAGAAGCAAACCCCCCACTGAGCAGGGAGCCCAATGCTGGACTCCATCCTAGAACCCCAGGATCACGACCTGAGCCGAAGGCAGACACTTAACTGAGCAATGCCCTGACTTGAACCTAATTATACTTAAAATTACATCAAAAATCAATGGGTTTGTGGAGAGGCAAGAGAGGGGCAAAAGAGATGAACGAAAAACAAAGAGCAATATGGCAGGCTTAACCCTAACCACATCAATAATTACCTCAAAAGTCAGTGAACTAAATATTCCAATTACAATGCAGAGACCGAGGATAACTATAAGCTACCCTACAAGAGACAGACTTTAAAGACAAAAGCAAGAGCATCACGGATGAATAACACATCCTTTGTGTACCCTCCTCAGCAAGAACAATTTGGCATCCATCGCAGATAAAAGTGTCTACAGGAGCTGAGAGATCCTAGAATCTCAAAGACAGTTTGTGAAGACTAGAGAAGGTGACAGCTACTTCGAGTGTTGAAGACAGGATCACAAAACTTCAAGGAACATGAAAAAAAAGAAATCAAGGAAAACTTGACACCCCCAAAGGTCACCACAATAATAATCAATCCCAAAGCCACGGAGACCTGCAATTTACCCGATAAAGAATTCACAATAGGCTCCGCAACAAGATGGCGGATGATAAAGAAAGGGAAGGCACAGAGTTAGTTGTAACAGAATTTCACAAAAAAAATCAAAGACACTTTTAATTTTTTTTTTATTTATTTATGATAGTCACAGAGAGAGAAAGAAAGAGAGGCAGAGACACAGGCAGAGGGAGAAGCAGGCTCCATGCACCGGGAGCCCGACGTGGGATTTGATCCCGGGTCTCCAGGATCGCCCCTGGGCCAAAGGCAGGCTCCCTCAAAGACACTTTTAAAGTGTTTGACCCTGAGGCGAATAATACAGTGGATGTGAGGAGAGAGATCGGAACAATTATCAGGTTGCTAGGGTGCTGCCCGAGGGAAGGAGAGCTGCATGACCTGACTGCATGTTAGATCCATCCAAACGTGGATTTCTAACTAAGGAAGAATTCATCAAGTATATGACTGAAGAAGGTGAGCCTTTTTCTCAGGAAGAAATGGAAGAAATGTTGTCCGCTGCAACTGACCCAGAATCGAATTCCATTCGTTACAAGGACTACATAGCCATGATGGTGGTAGACGACGGCTAGCTGCCCTGAAGACTTAATTTCTCATTGGAAGGATGACTGTAGAGATAGCCTGGCTTTGTTAATTTTACATCTTATAATTCCTACATATGCTAATTAATACCTGGTGACAACTATTTCAAGATACAAACGACAAACCACTTGTTATTTTAAAGCCGATTCTTTAAAACATTTTAGCGTTAAAAAAAAAAAAGAATTCAAAATAGCTGTTTTAAGGAAACTCAAAGTGAAAGGAGTTTGTCATAGAAAGACAATTCAACAAAATCAGAAAACAACACATGAGCAACATGGATGAGACTTGAAGGCATTATGTCAAGTAAGCCAGACAGAAAAAGACAAAGTATGATCCCACTTACACATGGAATCTAAAAAGGCTGAACTCAGAGAGTAAATGGTGGTTTCCAGGGGCGAAGGGGGCAGGGAAATGCAGAGGTGTTGGTCCAAAGATCCAGTTATTATGAGTAACCTCCGGGAATGGAACGTCCAGCAGAGCGATTAGAGTTAACAGCACTGTATTACATACTTGAAAGCTGCCAAGAGAGTGATCTTAAATGTTCTCACTGCAAAAGAGAAGTGGTAATTATGTGAAGTGATAGGGATATTAATTAATGCTCCTGTGATAATTATTTTGCAATATGGAACTGTATCAAATCAATGCCTAAAACTTACATATGTTTTACAATGTTACATATCAGTTGTATCTCAATAAAGCTGGGGGAAAAAAAATAAAGACAGAAACAGGTCGTAAGAAAAAGGATGAAAAGAGATGTGCCCTGGCAAGGAAGCCGCTGTGCTTATATTAACATCTGACACCAGGTATTTCAAGACAAAGTATTATAAGAAATTACAAGGGAACATTTCATAGTAATAGAAGCCATTCATTAAGATCACGTAACTTTAAATAAATAAATATGCAATTAAAAACACAGCTTTTGTACTTTAATAGTATTCTACCAAAGTTAATTTCCTGGGTTTTTTTTAATAGTTTAAGATTTCATTTAAAAGAGAGAGAGAGAGAGAGAACGAGCAGGACAAGGGGCAGAGGGAGCAGCAGACTCCCCACTGAGAAAGGAGCCCAACAAGGGGCTTGATCCCGGGCCCCGGAGGTCAGGACCTGAGCTCAAGGCAGACACTTAACCGACTGAGCCACCCAGGCACCCCTAATTTCCTGGTTTTAATCACTGTGCTTTGGTAATGTAAAAAGTAGGAATTAGATGAAGGTGGGTAAAGAACATGTGGGAACTTCAACTATTTTTGCAACTCTTCTTTAAGTCTAAAATTAAGAAAAAAAAAAAAAGAACAGAGCTATAAAATTCATGATGCAAAACTCAAACTAAAGAGAATTCACAAAGTTGGGATATTTAAAACCACCCCGGGGCACTTAGGTGGCGCAGTTAAGGACCTGCCTCCGGCTCAGGTCATGATCCCCGGGTCCTGCGATCGAAGCCCACATCAGGATCCCTGCTCAGCGGGGTGGCGGCTTCTCCCGCTCCTCTCTCTCTACCCTTCCCTTCTGCAGCTCGTGCTCTAATATAAATAAAATCTTTTTAAAAAAACAAAAAACCTAAACACTCTTGCTTTGTGATCAAGTAGACTATTCCCCCACCATAAAAAGACCAAAGGGAGACATAGTATCTGAACATGTTGTCAGTCAACTGGACCTGAGAGGACATTCCCAGGAGACCTGAAGAGCTGCAAATTCAAGTTCATGTGGGCTGTCCACCAAGACAGACAAAGAAAAGGTAAAATGTGGATAACCTGCTTCTGAGTAGATAGAAGAGTCCACATTTGTTGACATGGGCAGAAGGAAACTCTGGGAGAACACGTAAGAGCCTGGTTAGAAAGTCACCTGTGTGTGTATTCACACCTGTGCGTGAGGAAGATGGAAAGTGGAACATGATGTAGCAGGAACACATTAAACTTAAAGTTTTCTTTGAACATGAGAACGAACTATTCAAAGCATTAAACTAAATGAATAAAATGACGTATTAAGAGCTTGACCAAAAGATCATAAATGCCAAGAATTTAAAGCAGAGCACTTATGACCCAGAACAATCTTATCTTAGCTATTCTTTTCCCTAATGATCAAGAGTTCATTTTTTTTATTATTTTTTTTTTGGTTTTTTTGATCAAGAGTTTATACTAAGATTTAGCTAGAAAGAAATTCATGAAAGCACTTAAAAGTTTTCTGAATTGCAACCGTTCACGAGCAAGAGATGAACTACACCACGCACACTCATGAGTGGAGCGGCAAGCTCCCATTCAGATGGTGGCCTAGAACATGAGCGCCCGGCCTGGCCCCACTGGGGGTGAGCAAAGTGCAGGTGAGGCGCTGAGGAGCCTAGGCCAAGGACAGGGTGGCTCTTTCCATGTGATGGAATCGCAGGTGATTTCCTCCCAGGGGACAGCAGACCCTCTCTTACCAACTGACTGGGATCTGTCCCTTTTTCAACAACGGACTTGGCGCTCAGGGGTCCTATGTTTTCAGGAGTGACCGACTCGGCTGGTTCCTCTGGAAGTTCTGAAGGCCTACACGGTGCATCTGGAACAGGTTCCTGTTGTCGGGTCCTTATTTTCTCTGCTGGTTTAACTTTCCTTCTGATGACAGCTTCTTCGGTGCTTTCAGATTCATCGCTAATGGGCTTGACTTTTCTTCTTGGCTGTGGCAAGGTTAGCAGCATGATTGGGTCGGAAAATACAAGCGCTTGTTACCACCTCTACTGTGATAGTGGAGAGCCTAGCAGAGTCTGAATTTCTCGTTTCCCACCTTCCAGCTTGAACATAATAGGAAGGGGGCAACGAGATGAGCGAGGTGCGGGGTAACGCAGACCCAAGAGCTCCAGATGTTAAACACAACAACAACAACAACAAAAAAAGAGTTCCAGATAAACGCTCCCCTCAGCCCGCTCTGCCTTTGTCGATCACGGTCTAAACAGACGACACGAACACTATAATAATCTCTCGACAGAGAGATTTAAGGACTTAAGATATGAATATATATTTCCCTTTTTATGATAAAACTATCTGCTAAAATGTCATATTCCTTCTCAATGTAAAATATGGTTACAGCGCATTTTCTCTACTTGCATCCATTTGAAATAGGAAAAGAAATATGTTGCATGATAGGAGAGAGAACACTCCTACATACCTTTTTTGCACTCACTTCTATAGACACATTTTCACCTTCTTCCACTTCGTAAGTGTGGGACCTGGACCAAAGAACAAACCATCAGTGTCTTGCTCTTATTTCATTGCTTTCACGGGTCTCGTAGAAGTTGCTCATCCACTATTAAGACAAGCTCGATTTAATGAGGAGATTTCTCACTGGTCCAGGGCGGGCCTGCCTCCTTCCCAGGTTTAGGGGTCATGTCCCACCTTCCTGGGCCCAGGCCGCACCAGGTTATTCTTGCCGGGCAAGCAGGTGTCTCATTACTGCACCCCCTTGCGGTCACGCCCGGAACTGCACCCTCCCGGAGTTACCAGGCCCAGGTACACAGGTACACAGGGGCCATCATTTCAACTAAAGGCTCATCTCCAGACACTAGGCCCATCATTAGGAGATATAAAAGGGAAGACTTTCTTTTTTCCTTCGAAAAGGAAAAAACAAAAAAACCTTCTGATGGGAGCTCATTTTTTCATTCAATTCAACATTCACCTAGCAGCAACTTCAAAATGCAAAGTACAGTGAATAAAATTACTTTAAAAAATGAGGCACCGGGGATTCCTGGGTGGCTCAGCGGTTTAGCGGCTGCCTTCAGCCCAGAGCGTGATCCTGAAGTCCTGGGATCGAGTCCTGCATCAGGGTCCCTGCATGGAGCCTGCTTCTCCCTCTGCCTGTGTCTCTGCCTCTCTCTGTCTCTCATCAATCAATAAATAAAATCTAAAAAAAAAAAAAATGAGGCACCTTCCTTTAGGTTCAGTGTCTAGTAGGAAGGCTGAAGAGTGGACAGGGCCTGGCTATTGCTGCCCACACAGGGCTCCAGGATCCAGCACACTCTGCTGCGCAGCTGCCTGTGGGTCAGCCCCACCACACTCTGAGGCCATCTCTGCCCTGTCCCGACTCTTGCACCTTCAACTTTCATGGAAATATCTACTAATAAGCCTCTTCCATTCTAATTCTGCCTCAGTGTACTTACGGGGACTGGCACAGGCTTTCTCCATGCACCCAGATCACGGGGAACCTGTGGAAGGTGGCAGGCATAGTACAGAGAGCAGACCAGCAGTTCGGGAAGATCGGCCTGGGGGGCGGGGGGGTGGTGCATGGGCCAGTGGGAGAGAGCCATCCGAGAGACAAGGGCCAGCAGGTGGGTGCTGCTGCAGCAATCCTGGTGGGAGGAGCAGGGCCTGGGCCATGGCAGGGGTATGGAGAGAAAAACGTGGACTCTCCAGGTCGCCACAGGCCGGCAAATCAGACTGGACTGAGAACAGACCAGGAACCCCTCCCAGGTGACAGCAGGACCCCTAAGCTAAGGACACCACAGGAGCTTGCTGACACCGGGTGAGACAGAAAAGGATGCAGCTTGGTTTTGCCGAATCCAGGCTGCCCCTGGGCATCTGGGGGCCTAAGGCCAGTCTGCAGGACATGGCAGGCCCCGAAGAAAGGCTGGGCAAGACCACCAGCCTCGGGGGGCAGTGCCATCTAGGTAAGGCCAGGAGAGCAGTACTGGGGGCGGGGGGGGGGGGCGAGGAGAGCTGCAGGACGGGGCACGTCAAGAGGCTGAGAGGCGAAGAGCAAAGACCCAGAGGTCCCTGGGGAGGAGCTGGGGCCTAGATGCTAGAGCCTCCCTGAGTCCTGGGATCATCTCTCCCCAGTGCAGCCTCTACACCCACATACAGACCCGAGCTTACCCAAATAACGTCTCTTGTTTGGGCTTCTCACGCCCTCAAACCCAAGATGGCCAAGAACGTCCACGTGGTTAAATACATACACACACCCGGCCCTTCCCTCACTAGCATCAGACCTTCCTGCCCAACCCCCAGCGCACAGGCACACGCACTCCCTCTCCCTCTGCTGCACACGGGCCTAGCTTCCTCCCTGCACTCCGAGCTCCCTTTCTCCTCTCCTTTGCAAGCTCCTACCCCCTCCTGCACAGGTGGGTCTGCAAGCGGTGCCCCTGCCCCTGCCCCTGTCCGGGCCTTGCTGCTCCCAGGCTGCAGCCTCCCCGCAAGCTCTCCCAGTGCCCCCAGCGCCCTACCACTGAGAGCCAAACTTCAGCCTGAACTCCAGCTCAGGCCTCTCCCTCGGGGCTCCTGACCCAAGTACACAACCCTGGACCCTGACATCTCTGCACCATGCTCACCATCGCCTCATGATGACCAGGGTTACTCAGTCTTCTAGCAACCCCAGCTTGGTCCCAGGCAGGATCACTGACCCTTGCATACAAAGCAGAAAGCCGGGGTAGTCTGACCGCGGCTCCTCCCCAGCCTCCTGGAGCCAACCCCCATCACTACGCCCACTGATTAACGTCCTATTTCTTAAACTCCTTCGCTTTTCCCTCTCTGTCACAATCACCCTCGTCCTCCCGGCCTTAGGCTACTGAAACAGCCTCCAAACTGGTCTTCTCCAGCCCACCCCTGTCTCTCTCAAATCCATTTTCCACACAGCAGTCAGAGGGATAGTTTTTAAATGCAGACCAGGCCACACCACTCTTGCTTAAAATTCTCTAACTGCGGAGCTTAATGACAAAACTCCTTACCAGGTATAAAAGATGGGGTTAGGTGTGGCTACAGATAGTAGACAACACACCTCCCAAATGGTTTAAACAAGACACTTTATTTCCCTCTCAATAAAACTTGAGAGATAATTCATGGAAATTTGCACAATCCCACCACGACCAGAGACCCAGATTGCATCCATCTTACTGCTCCACTTTCTCAGGACACCGCCTCATGGTCCACACTGGCTGCTCAAGCTTCCACTGTCACACCCCATTCCCACCATAAGGAAGAAGGAAGGAGCAAAGAATCTTCCCGATGAAGACACTTAGAGAAGCTGCAGATGCTTCTTTGGCCGTGATGTAAAGACACTTTAGCTGCAGGAGAAACCAGGAAGTGCTTTCTTCATTCCGAGAACTGAACACCCTATCACTAAGAAGGGGAACGCCCTGGGGGAGGCAGCTAGCAGTCTCTACCAATCATGACAAAGGATAACCACCTTGCAGTGTGCTCCCCTCTTCAGTCTATTTACTGAGCATTCCACAGACTCCTTCCAGTCCCACAGACTCCCTCTGTCCCTCCCATCGCAGTTCCCCTTTGCCTGCCATTCATCTGCACAGAATGTTTGTTCCTCACTTCACTCCACCCACCTAATTCCCATTACAGTGTCAACACCCTTCCCCACAAGGTTCATCAAGGATTCTTCATTAATGTCTACAGCTCCATAAGCTTCAGGAGGAAAAGGATTATGTCCATTCTCAGTTATTATTGTACATCCATCCAAAGCCTAACACAGTGCCTGGTATGTAGTTGGTGCTCAACGAATGCTGAGAAATACAAATACTAGAAAGTTATCATTTGAAAGGTTACTGTGTGCCAAACCAGTTTTAGTTTTAAGAACTTAAGATCAATTTATCTTAAAAGAATCATATAATATAGACTATATTATTATTTCACTTTCCAGATGAAGGAATTTGGAAGTGAAAGGTCTTGTCCAAGGTCAAATACTTTAGAAGTGGCATAGCAAGGATCTGAACCAGCACAACACACACCAGGTTGTGGGTCAGTCACCTTAACCATGCACTACACTTACACTGCAAGAATGAATTCAAACATTCATTGAACACCTACCAGGTGCCTAGTGGTGTTCTAGGCAAATGAAGTATCTAAAATAGGCAAATTCATAGAATCATGCTCTTTTTAAACTATTCCAAAAAAACAGAAATGGAAGGAAAACTTTCAAATTCATTCTTTGAGGCCACCACAACCCTAATATAATACCAGAGCCAGATAAAGACACTACAAAAAAAGAAAACTACAGGCTGATATTGCTGATGAAAATCCTCAACAAAGTACTGCAAACCGAATCCAATAGCACATTAAAAAAAAAAATCATTCACCACAATCAAGTGGGATTTATGCCTGGGTTCCAAGGGTGATTCAGTATCTGCAAATCAATCAAGGTGATACCTCATGTCAATAAGAGAAAGGAAAAGAACCACGTGATCACTTCAATAGATGCAGAAAAAGCATTTGACAAAGTACAACATCCAGTCATGATAAAAACCCTCAACAAACTGGGTTTAGAGGGAATATAGCTCAACATAACAAAGGCCATATATGAAAAACTCACAGCTAACATGGTCCTTAATGGGGAAACACTGAGAGCTTCTGCCCTAAAATCAGAAACAAGAAAAGGATGTCCATTCTCACAGCTTTCATTCAACACAGTACTGGAAGTCTGAGCCACAGCAATCAGACAAGAAGAAGAAACAAAGAAATCCAAATTGGTAAGGAAGAAGTAAAGCTTTCACCATTTGCAGATGACATGATACTATATGTAGAAAACCTTAAAGACTCCACCAAAAAACTGCTAGAACTGATAAATTCAATAAAGTCACAGGATACAAAGTCAAGGTGCAGCAATCTGTACCTTGCATTTCTATATACCAAGAATGAAGCAGCAGAAAGAGAAATTAAGGAATCAATTCCGTTTAGAGTTGCACCAAAAATAATAAGATACCTAGGAATAAACCTAACCAAAAAAGTGGAAGACCTGTGCTCTAAAAACTATAAAACACTGATGAAAGAAATTGAAGATGAATGGAAAAACATTCCAAGCTCATTGATTGGAAGAACACATATTGTTAAAATGTCTATACTACCCAGAGCAATCTACACATTTAATGCAGTCCCAATCAAAATACCAAGAGCAGTTTTCACAGAACTAGAAAAAGCAATCTTAAAATTTGTACGAACCCCAAAGAACTTGAATAGTCAAAGCAATCTCGAAAAAGGAAAGCAAAGCTAGAAACATCACAATTCCGGGCTTCAAGTTCTAGAACAAAGCTGTAGTCATCTAAACAGTATGGTACTGGCACAAAAACAAATACACAGCTCCACAGAACAGAACAGAAAACCCAGAAATAAACCCATAATTATATGATCAATTAATCTTTGACAAACCAGGAAAGAATATCCAATGGGAAAAGGATAGTCTCCTCAAAAAATGGTGTTGGAAAAACCAGACAGCTAACATGCAAAAGAATGAAATTGGACCATTTTCTAACACCATACACCAAAATGAATTCAAAATGGATGAAAGACCTAAATGTGAGACTTGAAGCCATCAAAATTCTAAAGAAGACCTGAAGCCATAAAAATTCTAAAGAACAACACAGGGAGTAACTTCTTTAACAGTGGCCATAGCAACTCCTTACTAGGTACATCTCCTGCAGCAAGGGAAACAAAAGCAAAAATAAACTATTGGGACTTTATCAAGATGAAAAGCTTCTGCACAGCAAAGGAAACAAATCAACAAAATTAAAAGTCAACCTTTGGAATGGGAGAAGATATTTGCAAATGACATATATGATAAAGGGTTAATATCTAAAACATATAAAGAACTTATGAGGGGTGCCTGGGTGGTTCAGTTGGTTAATTGTCTGCCTTTGGCTTGAGTCATGATCCCAGGGTCCTGGGATCAAGCCCCACATCAAACGCCCTGCTCAGCGGGGAGCCGGCTTCTCCCTCTCCCTCTCCCCTTGCTCGTGCTAACAAATAAAACCTTTAAAAAACATTTATTTCTTAAATTAAAAAAAAAAAACTTATAAAACTCAACACCCAAAAACCAAATGATCCAATTAAAAAATGGGGAGAAAACTTGAATAGACATTTCAAGTGCATATATATTCAAGTGTATACATGTACACATTTCATGTGTGTACATGAATATACACATATGTGTGTGTATACACACACACACACAAACACAACAGAATGTTAGCCATCGAAAGGAATGGAAACTTGCCATTTGCAATGACATGGATGGAGCTAGAGAGTATTATGCTAAGTGAAGTCAGTTAGAGAAAGACAAATACCATATGATTCTGTTCATATTTGGAATTTAAGAAACAAAACAAAGGAGCAAAGAAAAAAAAAAAAGAGCGAGAGGCAAACCAAGAAACACTCCCAAATACACAGAACAAATTGACGGTCACCAGAAAGGGGGGCAGTGCCAGGACGGAAGAAGTAGGCGGTGGGATTACGTAGTGCACTTGTGAAGAGACCCCGGTGACTGCAATTAACATAAAAACTTAAAAAACAAAAGCTTCTCCCTCCCTCCCTGTTTTAACTCAAAGCTAAACCACCTTCACAGGCATGTTTTCCAGAATAATCAGTTGTCAATTAAAATTACTACAGGGCTTTTTAGACTAAATTGGACTTTTATAATTGAGGTATAATTGACACGTTAGTCTCAAGTGTACAACATAATGCTCTGCTACCTGTATATACTGCAAAATGATCTCCACAAGAAATCTTTAACATCACCAGACGGACCTACAAAATTTGTTTTTCTTGTGACGAGAACTGTTAAGATCTACTCTCTTAGCAACTTTCAACACACAACACAGTACAAACTATGGTCATCCTGCTGTAATTACATCCTTAGGACTGTTTTTTTTTTTCTAGAAACTCATACCTATAATTAGTTATTATATATAATGTTAATTTTTGAAAACAAGTTTTTCTGTACAGTTCTCTGGAGGAAAAAAAAACCTAAGTTGGCTCCAAAGATCTTTAAAAAGCTTTAGTTTTATAAGCTTCTATTTAAAGAGCTTCTCAGAAATCCAACTGGCCACCAATAAGTGACAGCTTAAAATATAACCATACCTTTTCTTTGCTTCTTTTCCTTGAGAATTCAAAGGGCTGGATGACCCGCAGTGTCTGGAGAATTCTTCTTCATCAGCGTAGATAGCAGTGCTGTGTAAAGGAGGATCTATGAAAGATTTTTTTTTTTTAAGTACAACTTTAAAAGCTGGCAGCTTGGGCAGTATTTACATTTGTTCTTTTCAATGGCAATCTCAGATTTAATTCCTTTCTTTTTTTTTTTTAAATGTTTTATTTACTCATGATAGACAGAGAGAGAGAGAGAGAGAGAGAGAGAGAGAGAGAGAGGCAGAGACATAGGATGAGGGAGAAGCAGGCTCCATGTAGGGAGCCCGACGTGGGATTTGATCCCGGGACTCCAGGATTGCGCCCTGGGCCAAAGGCAGGCACTAAACCGCCAAGCCACCCAGGGATCCCCTCGGTTTTAATTCCTAACGATTACAGAGGCTACTTACCTCCCAAATGTTTTTGAGCTCGCACCTCAACAATGAGAAATTTATACCGTTTCACTAGTAAATATGTGAACACTTAACAGTTATGACCTGTATTACTGTACTTATGTACTATATGGAAATTTTTTTAATGAGCTAAAAGAAATCTAAATAGGGAGGCTGACATTCTCTGTCCCCACCTGATGGAGCATCACATCACGGCTCTACTTAAGAGAACACTGCTGGGAAAGACACAGGACTCAGGATAAAGAACACTCTCATACCTGCTCGGGTCAAAGGGGACCTCAGCACCCCAGGGCCAGGGCCAGCTGCCTGCATGCTGGGAGAGCTTAGAGGAGGGAGGGGGTGGCCAGGCAACTGCTGTTCCTGGCCGCCAAGCTACCATTTGTTCAGGCTCGAATTTTAGCATGGCGTGTAGATTTAAAACACATGTGTGCAAATAACAGCTGCTTAAGCAATGAACCTATCAATGCCTGATTTTTAAGCTAATGGCTCTGTGGTGCCCTCAACTAGGCAAAGGGATTTATTTACTACTGCAAATAACAAAGAATAAAAGAGAAGGAAACCAATCCTGAAAATCCATGTGTAACCAGTCATCCAAACCAGACTCTCATATACAGAGAAAACCCAATTTTATTTAAGATTTGATCTATTCATTCATGAGAGACAGAGAGAAGCAGGCTCCTCGCAGGGCACCCAAAGTGAGACTTGATTCTTGGACCTGGGATCACACACCCTGAGCCAAAAGCAGACACTCAACCGCTGAGCTACCCAGGCATCCCAAGAACCCAATTTTAATAAGATATATAATTCAATTTAAAAATAGATACATGATCTGAATAGATAGCTCCTAAAAGATACATAAATGGCCCATAAGCACACAAAAGGATGTTTGACATCATTAGCCACTGGGGAAATACAATTCAAAACCACAATGAAGTACCATTTCACATTCATTGGGCTGGCTATCATCAAAAAAAACCAAAACAAAAGAAAAAAAAAAACAACAAAAACAAAAACAGGAAAACCAAGTGAGGATGTGGAGAAACTGGAACCCATGTGTATTGCTAATGGAAACGTCACACAAATGTTGCAGCCTCTGTGGGAAATGGCATGGCAAGGCCTCAAAAAAGTGCACATATGATCCAACAACTCTACTTCTGTATATGGACCCCGAAGAAGTGAAAGCAGGGACTCAGATGTTGGTGTGTCCGTGTTTACGGCAGCATTACTCACCATCATCAAAAGGTAGAAGCAGTGTCCATTGACACATAAACAGATATACACAGAGGATGGAATATTATTCACTTTTCAAAAGTAAATTCAGACACTTGCTATAACAAGGATGAACTCTAAAGACATACTGCTAAGTGATAAAAAAAGACACGACTAGAAAAATACTGGAGGGATCCTCTCATATAAGTATCTCACTAGAGTAGTTAAGGTTCTAGAAAAAGTTGAGCTGGGGGGTGTGAAGAACAAAGAGCTATTGTCTAACGGGCACAGACTCTCAGTTGGGGGGAAATGGGAAGGTTGTGGATGTGGGTGGTGAGGGCAGCTGCACAACAGTGTGAATGTACTGATACCACAGAACTATACTTTTAAAAATGGTCAAAATGGTTAATTTTATGGTTATGTATATGTTATCACACAAACACAATTGAGAATCCACTTCAAACTCATGGCCAGAATCAAAAAGTCAGGTGATTACAAGAGCTGACCAAGCTGCGAGGAAACAGGAACCTCATGCATTGCTGGGTGGGGGGTGGTTCACTCACACCGGCCCCAAAGTGGAAACAACCAAAGTAGACATCAACTGATGAATGGAGAACAAAATGAGGTATATTCAACAACAGATTATTGAGCTAAAACATTTTCAGGAGGGGGGCCTGGGTGGCTCAGGGTGTGATCCCAGAGTATTGGGATCGAGTGCCACATCAGGCTCCCCGCAGGGAGCTTGCTTCTCCCTCTGCCTGTGTCTCTCATGAGTAAATAAATAAAATCTTTTAAATAAATAAATAGAACATTTTTAGGAATGACGTACTGACACTCACTACAATACAGACAGGCCTTGAAAACACTATGTTGAATGAAAGAAGTGAGTCACAAATGAAGAGTGTATGACTCCATTTATACAACAGGCACACCAAGAGTCAGGAAGTAGGTGTATGGTTGCCAGAGGCTGGAGGGGAGGAGTGGTAGGGAGTGATTGTTAATGGATACAGAGTTCCTTGCTGAGGTGACTAGAAGTTTCTGGAATACACAAATGGTGATGGCTGTACAATTCTGTGACCACATGACAGTACTATTGAATTATACACTTGAATATAGGGAAATTTTTGATAATTGAACTACATCCCAATTAAAAAAATTATGTGGGGGTAACCAGGTGGCTCAGTCGGTTAAGCATCTGACTCATGATTTCAGCTCAGGTCATGATCTCAGGGTTGTAAGATCAAGCCCCATGCTGGGTGTGGAGCCTGCTGAAGACTCTCTCTCCCTCTCCCCCACTACTCCCTCTCTAAAAAAAATAAATAAATAAGATATAAAAGTAAAAAGTTACATGGTTTCTTTTGAATTCAATCTTTTACATTTAAATTTCCCTTAAGTAATTAAAACATTTTAATCAAGCCATAACAAAAGATGTATTCTGGTAATGATTACTTTTCATCTTATAAAACAATATTCTTTTATTAACAGAAGATTGGATTAGAAAATATTAGACCCTGAATTAAAAATGTGTGAGAGGTTACAGGTGTTCAAAATTGCCCTTAAAACTTATTCCACCAAAAATATCTGATCACTGCTGATCTAAATGTGGGGGCACCTGGCACGTTCTGTTCATTTTTGGTCTCTGGAGTGACCAGTGACACAGACAGAAGTGGTCCCATTTGGACAACTCACATACACCTGGTCAACCGGGTCGCAGCCCTGTTTTCTTTACGCTCGGAGGAACCCAAGTGAAACTCTCCTTGCGCTCTCCTGAAGGAACCTCTGCCTCAGTGTATTAAAAAAAAGGGAAAAATGCCCCTCTTCTCCCTAAATTAAAGCCCCTTACTGAAGGACTCTATTGGTGGTATGCAGTGAGAAACAGAGTTCATATCCTTCTTGTTAACAGAGCACTAGAACAGGTGTCCAACAGGACTGGCTTGTGGACAAAAGCTATTAGAAGAGTTCTACCTTGATACATGTTTAATAAGAGTTCTTAGTTCAATGTAACTATAAGCGGGAAAAATTAAGCCAAAATACCAAGTACTACCCGGAACACTACAGTCACATGCAGACAACAGATTTTTATATGTGGAGATATTCCCGTATTTTTATTAGTAATGGGACAAAAGCTTTTAGGATGAGGATTTAAAATACTAACCAAAGATGTCATAAGGTTCGTCATCCTTCTCGTTTTCACCCAGCCTGCTGATGCTGAAGACACCAGAATTATCCGGAAAATCAAACACATCAGTGGGTTTCTGCTTTGGGCCAGTTTTCTAAAGGCAAATAAAGTCAAAGTCCTTGAATTGGCTATCGCAAAAAGGAACAGTACGAAGCTGATTTAGTTAGCAAGGATAATCCTGACGTAGGAACAAAAGAGGGGCGGATGGGGCTAGGCAGGGAAAGATAAGGGAAAAGCCCCAGAGTCAGGCTCCTACCCATCTTAAGAAAACAGAGATAAGACAGTAAAATCAGAAAGGAAAAAAAAAAAAAAAAAAAAAAAAAACCACACCTGGCTCCCTAGCTCCCAAAGGTTAGGGAGTATCCCTCTTGAATGGCTACTAAGTAATCACAGAAGCCCCAGATGCAGAGAAATGTTGAGAAAATATTAACCCGGGAGAAGGAACACTCTGTGCTCATATTTACCAAAAAACATCTTGTTTGTTACAAGTCCACCAGGTTTGTTTTAAATATAGACATGATATTCACAAATCCACCTACACCGACAAGACATTTACCAAGTTCCCTGGGCAGTTTCCTATAAAAAACAGACCATTAAAGCTCTAAATCCCAACCCTGGCGGGACGGGACCCCTCTCACTTTTTAGCGCGTTCTCTGTAACTCTGCTTAATAAACCTCAATCACTTGGCTCTCTGCTGTCGGCGAGATTCAGTCTTCGACTCCGTGAGACAAGAGCCGAGCTCTCCCGTGTCACTGCTGTCACTGCTGCCTAAAGAAGTGATCCTTAACAACTTCTGGGGGGACGGTCAGAGGGACACAGACCCCCTTTGACAAATGAAGGGAGGAACTGGCAACCTTTACTCTAAGGGACCAGGAGTAAATGTCCTAGGCTTTGCGTCTGTTCTAACTACTCAACTCAGCCGTTACAGTCCGACAGCAGATGGTGACAAGGCAGAAAGAATAAACACAGCTGTATTACAATAAAACTTTATGAGTACGGAAATTTGAATCCTTTTCCCTGATCATGAGATATTCTTATTTTACTTCAACCATTTAAAAATGTGAAAATCGGGACATCTGGGTGGCTCAGCAGTTGAGGCTCTGCCTTCGGCCCAGGGCATGATCCTGAGGTCCTGGGATCGAGTCCCACATCGGGCTCCCTGCACGGAGCCTGCTTCTCCCTCGGCCTGTGTCTCTGCCTCTCTCTCTGTCTCTCATGAATAAATAAAATCTTTAAAAATAAAATAAAAATAAAATTGTGAAGATCATTCTTCGCTCACAGGGTTGTACAAACACGGGGCAGGCTAGATTTGGTCCATGGACCATAGTTTGCTGACTCCTGATCTCAGGAACGCTCTGGGCCCTCTCCCCAGAAATATGTCCATCTACCTGGAAGTTCATAAGGATACATAAAGGTAAAAACTCTCTCAACCAAAGGAGAGACAAGGGTTTATGATTTAATACAATAACAAGCCCCATGAAGTTTGCTACCTCAAATACCCATGAATAGAGCAAAACCTCCAGAAAATGAGAAAAATGTCCATCATAACTCTGGAAAATGTGGAAGGGTGCCATTGACAGGTAAGAAAATACGAGGAAATTCTGGAAGACATAAAGGAGGCAGAATAAACCTGAGTTGAATGCCAGAGAAGAGTAGCTGACTGACCCTCCATCCTCCCTGAGACTAACAGGCCTCCGAGAGATCGGGAAAGCTAAGCAGTCCACCCCGGGCACTCGGGACGTCGGCCAGCGCAGGCTGGTAGCAGGGCTGAAGAACTGGAGAAACCCATGCCAGGTACGCAGGATTTTAGCCACCCAGGGCAGACTGCTGAGAGACACCCACCCACAGAACAAGCAAGCTGTCGCTGGGGTGGGAGCCCAGAGCTGAACCCAACCCTGCAGCGGGGGGGGGGGGTCCCAGGCCTCCCACAGGACGAGAGCCACCCTCTGAAGGCAGGGGTTAGGGCAGCAGGTGCAGAGAGTACGTACGTAAGGCAGGAGGGCAGGGCGGGGGCAGACAAAACCCCCGACCCCCTGCACCCTGAAAGTGGCCACTCTCAGACATCATTAACGTGGGTTTCCACTGCCAAGTGGACAAGCTACTGGAAAATAATTTGAAATGAGCTACACAGATGGCTGAAGAAATGTACCTGCCCTTAACATACATTTTTTTATAAAGATTTTATTTATTCATGAGAGACAGAGAGAGAGAGAGAGAGGCAGAGACACAGGCAGAGGGAGAAGCAGGCTCCCTGTGGGGAGCCCAACGTGGGACTCGATCCCAAGACCCCAGGATCACACCCTGAGCCGAAGGCAGATGCTCAACCGCTGAGCCACCTGGGCGTCCCTTAGCATACATTTATTTAGGGCAGCCCGGGTGGCTCAGCGATTGAGCGCTGCCTTCAGCCCAGGATGTGATTCTGGGGACCCCGGATCGAGTCCCGCATCAGGCTCCCTGCATGGAGCCTGCTTCTCCCTCTGCCTGTGTCTCTGCCTCTTTCTTTCTCTCTCATGGATAAATAAATACAATTCTTTAAAAAAAAAAATCCGTTTAAGACCCTAAAGAGAGGGATCCCTGGGTGACGCAGCGGTTTGGCGCCTGCCTTTGGCCCAGGGCGCGATCCTGGAGACCAGGGATCAAATCCCACGTCGGGCTTCCGGTGCACGGAGCCTGCTTCTCCCTCTGCCTGTGTCTCTGCCTCTCTCTCTCTCTGTGACTATCATAAATAAATAAAAATTAAAAAAAAAAGACCCTAAAGAGAAACTATAATATGGACTAAATGAATAGCACGAACTCATAAAACTATGAAAAACAAATGGAAACAAATGGAGAAGTGGTTAAGTGAAAAGAGCAAAACAGAGTTGTACACTTTTATAAGACATCAACTATTCAAATGAAAAGAGGGGAAAAAAAAAAAAAACCCTAGGCCCAGAAAAAAAAGATTTAAAATGTTAACAGTGGTCAAAGGTGGAAGGAAAAGGAATATGCTTTTCATCACAATAAACCAGAGTTTCCCAAGCGAAATCTACAAGATTCGAAGCTTCCCAGGAAAGGTATGTTATATTTCGTATCATCAATTATGAGATAATCACATTAAAATACAAAGATAACTTACGTCTTTTGTGGCATGTGTGCTTCCTACAGTGTTCTTTGAAGATCTCACACTATTAAAGAACAAAAACACACACAAGGGGAAATATTTAAAGTAAATGGGGAAATGCCATAACTTGGCAACCCTTTCTAAGCATTTTTTCCCCAAATTATATTCCTCGATCGTTGCATGAATAGCACACACCCAGTGAAAGTCTGCTTCTGGCAAAGTCCTTTTAGAAAACAGCACCTGTGTCTCACAGGATAGTTTTTACAGGTCAGATCACATCAGCAGTGTATAAAATCACACATCTCTCTCCTTCAGGGATGCAGATACTCTTAATCCTGCTGGTGTCCTTGCCCCTGTGGACAAGTCAACAGCAATGACTGACAGTTGCTGCAGAACTGAGCAAAAGGGAGGCACGCTGGCATTTATGAAGCACCTGCACCTGTTCTGTCGGCACCTGGCTCTCGCAAGTACGTTTTCTCACTTAGCTCTAACAGACCTATCAGGTAGGCGTGAGTCCTGTGTTGCAGATGTATATTTGGCCAAAGTAGCATAGGGCCAAGGAGGAGAAACCTGCATTAAAATGCGCATCCGTTCAAATCCAGAGCTTCCCTCTTTCCACCCCCTCATGCCCCTCCACTGGGCATTAGGATAAAACGATAAAGTCGATAAAGTCGTGTATCTTCGAGCTTAAAGTAAACAAGATGTGAAAACAGTGACTAAGGGGGACCTGGGTGGCTTAGTAGTCGGTTAAGCGTCTGCCTTTGGCCCTTTGGCTCAGGTCATGAGCCCAGGATCCAGGATCCCAGGAACGAGCGCCGCGCGCGCCCCCCCCCCCGCATTGGGCTTCCTGCTCTGCAGGGAGTCTGCTTCTCCCTCTGCCTCTGCTCCTCCCCCCTGCCCTGACTTTACACGTCACACAAGCACCCACTTGTGAATGGCAAAATCAGTTTAGTATGTCTGCATCATATTTGAGTAATGTTTTTATTTGATAGAATTTCAAACCTACAGAGAAAGTACAAGCATAAGAACATCCTGCATATCCTTTGCCCAGATTCACCAATTATTTACATTTTGTCTCCTATGCTTTCTATGTGTATGTGTAAACTAGAGACACAGTGCACCTTTACCCCTAAATAATTCAGTGTGACTCTAAGAAACAGAACATTATATTGCATAGTCACGGTACAATTTCCAAATTAAGAAAATTAACACTGATGGGATTATATAATCTACAGTCCGCATCCAAATTTCATCCATTGCCCCATAATATCCTTAAAAAAAATTTTTTTTCTTGCATTTTCAAAAAGGAAATACAGAAGAATAGAAGATTGCACTGGTCATTGTACTATACATGTGTAGTACAAACTTATGAACAGTGATGTAAAACGTCATTACTGTGAATCACAAACAAAAACGCTGAATTCCTGGGACGCCTTGGTGGCTCAGTGGTTGAGCTTCTGCCTTCGGTTCAGGGTGTGATCTCCGGGTCCCGGGACTGAGTCCCTGCAGGGAGCCTACTTCTCCCTCTGCCTGTGTGTCTGCCTCTGTATGTCTCTTATGAATACATAAATAAATCTTAAAAAAAAAAAAGCTGAACTCCTTAGAGCAGTGGTTCTGAAATTTCAGGCATCGGAATCACCTGGAGGGCTTCAAACACAGTGCGTGGCCCCACCCCCCCAGAGTTTCTGATTCAGTAAACCAGGGAGAGGGTCCAAGACTTTGCATTCTTTTTTTTCCCAAAGATTTTATTTATTTATTCATGAGAGACACACAGAGAGAGAAAGAGGCAGAGACACAGGCAGAGAGAGAAGCAGGCTCCATGCAGGGAGCCCGACGTGGGACTCGATCCCGGGTCTCCAGGATCAGGCCCTGGGCTGAAGGCCGCGCTAAACCTGGGCTGCCTGAGACTTTGCATTGTAACAACTGCAAGCGAACTACACCTTAAGAACCACAGCTTTAGGGATCCCTGGGTGGCTCAGCGGTTTAGTGCCTGCCCTTGGTCCAGGATGTGATCCTAGAGTCCCGGGATCAAGTCCCGTGTCAGGCTCCCTGCATGGAGACTGCTTCTCCCTCTGCCTCTCTCTCTCTCTCTCTCTCTCTCTCTCTCTCTGTCTCTCATGAGTAAATAAGTAAACTCTTTAAAAAAAAAAAAAAAAGAAAACGAAACATCGCTTTATTGGGTTCTCAGCTCCAAAGAAGTTGGAACAGGTATTCATTTTATGACATTTTATGATTCTAGGGTTCCAAAAAGTTCCAAAAAGTGACCGATCGATGGTCACACAGCCAAGTAACAGGACTAGAAACCAGATTGCAAAACTTCTTATCCTCCTCTCCACTGCCTCCTGCCTCCTCTGTGCTTAAGAAAAGGTCAGATTTCCTCCTTACCTTATATTGAAGAGGAGCAAGGTGAGGTTTCCATCTTTGGAATGTGTAAGATTTTTGGTGTAAGTGCACCAGTATGGTTTTTTCTGGGGGGGGGGGCGGGGGGCGGATGAACAGATTTCAGGAGTCTCCAAGGCAGGAATGTGATCTGTATATGCACCCGCATATAGATGTTGATAAAGGGAGAGAAACAAACACTACCTGGCCTACCAGAATAAGCTTAACTCGAGGCAGGTGATGTTCCCGGCTCCCGCATTCCTTTCCGATCCTCCTCCCCTCCTTGGGAGAGTCTTCCCTTCTTCCCCACCAGCCACAGGAGCCTAGTCTCAGTTTATTCTACCTGGCTGCTCTGTCCTGCTCCAGCCTCTCCCCTGCGCTCTGCCTGCCTCACCTTCCCCAGTTGGCTCACTTACAGATGCCCCCTTCTCCAGTCTTCCCAGAGCCCAGGAGGAACTCCTGCATGTCTGCGTGACCTTGTGCACCAACCACAGCAAGCCAAGGCCCCCTTTAGCCAGGAGCCCACCGGGCGTTTGGCTACGCTCTAGACACAGCCAGCCGGACAGGTGTCAATGAACCCATTAAAAATGACATTTGGGGGAGCAGTCTGGCCCATCCTGGAGCGCCCCTTTTAAAAAATAACAGGCGGTGGCCAGGTCCCCCAGCTGGAGGTTTGGTTCCGCTTTAAGGTCCACGTTACCCAAACAGCAGGGTTTTGAAAGTAAGACCCCTGACTAGCAGCCCGAGTGCAACTTTGCTAAAATGTACCGTCTGGCAAGCAGCAGGTACTAAAGGAGCTACTGCTGGGTATTTTGTTACAAAATATTTTGAGCCGGCTTTAGGCCACACCCACGCACGAAAAGCTCACCTTAGCGAACCTGCTTTCCCCCGCTCCAGGCAGTTTTGGGCCCTCACTCCTCCGCGCCCGGCCGCAACCCTACGCGCTCGGATTATGTCCATTTTACGGACCGGGACCGGGACCGAGGCCGAGGCCGAGGCCGAGGCCGCGGGCGAGCTGCACGGTGGCCGGGCCAGGGAGCCTCGCTGCGCAGCGCGAACAGCCAGCCCCGAGCGGCACCGACCCGGCAGGAAAGGACGGAGATAGAGCCTGTCCCCGTGCGCGTCCCCCACGGGGGCCGCGGGGCTTACCTGTCCCGCTCGGGGGTCCGCACCCGCCACGACGACGCCATCCGCGGCCGCCGCTTCCCGCGCACAAGCAGCCAGTCAAACTCCCCGCCAAACCCCGCGCCGCTCCGAGCAGCCAATCAGGGCCGCGCACGCTCGCCGAGGGCCCGCCCCCCGCCCCCCGCCCCCCGCCCCCCGCGCTCCACGCCCCTCCCCGGACCCGGGGGCTAGAGCGGGCGCGGGGCTCCTCCCCGCCTTGCAAACAGCCGCTGATGTTTGGTCCCTGAGCCGTCTGCATTTGCCGGGCTTTTCCTCCCACCCCCGCGGGCCGCGCGGGTTTCCGAGGCTCCGGAGCCGCGTGGCCCCGCCCACGGGGCGGGGCGGGGGCGGGGCCGCAGCTGGGAAGAGGGGCGGGGCCGCCTTCGGGGCCGATCGTACCGCGCAGGCGCTAAGGCTCCAGCGCAGGGGAGCGAGGCGTTGTCCGGGGGCGCGGTGTGGGTCCGCCGCGGCCCTGCACCAGCCTGGCTTGCTCTGAGCGGGGCGTGCTATTTCACCTCTGACCCAGTTTCCTCGTTGTAGATGCGGAGGGCCCCTTCTGGAGCTAATATTCTATTCTTTTCTTTGGGTTTAAAAATGTATTATTCTGCAAAAGAATGTTGGGCCCGTGGGACGCCTGCGTGGCTCAGTGGCTGAGCATCTGCCTTTGGCTCAGGTCCGTGGTCCCGGCATCCGCATCCTGCTCCCTGCACGGAGCCTGCTTCTGCCTCTCTCTGGGTTTGTCATGAATGAATAAATAAATCTTTAAAAATAAATAAATCTTTAAGAGAATAAATGTTGGGCCCTTACCACACCATAAACAAAAATGAACTAAAAATGGATCAAATACCCAAACTTGAAAACGATACAGCCCTTAGAAAAAAAAGCAGAGCAAAAACTTCATGCATGACGTTGAGATTGGCACTGATTTCTTGGATGGATGTGATGCCAAAAGCACAGTTGGGGATGATGAAAGGGTTCTGCAGATGGGTCGTGGTGGGCGGCTGCTTCACGTGAACATACTTAAGTAGTGCTGCTAAAGTGGAGTTGACGGTGGTCAAAATGCCAAATTTCATGTTGTGTGTATTTTAACACAATAAAAAGTTATGACCTATTTCATGCATACAAAGGAATGTAATATATATAATGCAAGGATAAAAAGAAACCCCCATGGGGTGCCTGGGTGGCTGGGTCTGTGAAGCCTCTGACTGGTGATTTCAGGCTCAGCTCATGATTGCAGGGTCTGGAGATTGAGCCTTGGAACAGCTCCGCACTGGACATGGAGTCTGCTGAAGATTTTTTTTTTTAAGATTTTATTAATTTATTCACTAGAGACAGAGACAGAGGCAGAGATACAGGCAGAGGGAGAAGCGGGCTTCATGCAAGGAGCTCGATGTGGGACTCGATCCTGGGTCCCCGGGAATCACAACCTGGGCCAAAGGCAGACTCCCAACCACTGAGCCACCAAGGTGTCCCGTGCTTAAGATTCTCTCTCTCTCTCTCCCTCTGCCTCTCCCTCCAACTATCTCTTTAAAAAAAAAAGGTGGGGGGAACACCCATGTACTCACCACTGGATTAGAAAATAAATCATTATCATTCCCCCAGCAATAAACCACTTTTTTGACTTGTGTCAAACCCACAACACAAGACTTACAACCCTTTTCCCAGAAAATAGAGCTACTTTGATAATTTCCTAAATAATGTACTAATTACTGTATGGTTCTAAACTTTACATAAATGATATCTGGTATGTATTCTGCAAGTGCTCTTAATCAAAGCTGTGATTTTTAGATTTATCCACATCAATGCATGTGGCTGTAGTTCATTCTTTTTCACTGTCTTTGGAATGCTTTCAGTAAATATACCACATTTTATTTCTACATTCCCCTGTGTATGGCTACATCAGTTGTTTTCAGTGTTTTTTTTTCCTCTTACAATCAGTGCTCAACATTCTAGTGCCTCCCATGACATATGCCTGAGAGCTTCTCTAACGGTAGACTCAGTAGTAATATTATCACTTTATAGGATAAAGACATTTTCAGCCCTATATGAGAATGTCAATTTTTAAAAAGATTTTATTCATGAGAGACACAGAAAGGCAGAGACATAGGCAGAGGGAGAAGCAGGCTCCCTGTGAGGAACCTGATGTGGGACTCGATCCCAGGGCCCCAGGATCACACCCTTTGCCAAAAGCAGCCCCTCAACCACTGAGCCACCCAGGTGTCCCAATAATGTCAATTTTTACACCTTCTTTGTATAATTGATACAATTTATATCCCCCATCAGTAGTATTTAAAAGTCCCCTTGGCTGCATGTACTTGTCAACACTTAGAGCTTTCAAGACTTGTACCTAACTAGTGAGTTGAAATGCTATCCTATCATGTGTTCCATTTGCATTTTTCCTTAAGTCCATCATCTTTGCATTGTTTGTAGGTCCTGCCTGGTTCCTCCTCGGTGAAATCACCACACCCCGGAATTATTTGGGTAATTGCCATTGGAGAGAAAATTGCCTTTGAGGAATTGAGGGTACTTGCGGGGAACCTGCTGCGGAGCCTGAGAACTGAATCTCGTGGGCCTGGGCACACGGGGGACGCGGGAGGTCCTGAGTCCCACACTGATCCTTGACCCCGTTGTTCTCCAGACACGGCTCCTCCGAGCCCCCCTCCTGGGGTCGATACCCTATTCTTTTACCTTTTGAAATAAACATGCTTTTCTCTGCTCCCCAAAGGTAATCATTCCTATAACCAGTCTGCTAGCTCTCTTAATAAAAACCGTGGGAGACGAAGCCTTGGGGTCCGAGTCTGGTTTGAGTCTGAGTCTGAGTCTCAGGCCCCCTGCCCCCCAGATTAAAATGCAGTGAGACTCTGAGTCTTTCTTCATATGGTCGCCTCCGATGACTACCCTGGCTCCGCAGCAGGTGGATCCTGATGATGGGCACAAAGAGGCTTCCTGAAGCCACAGAAACTGTCACCCTTATGAGAGTGGACAGGAAGCTCCATTTTCTGGGGAAAGGGTTGTAGGTCCTGTGTTTGTGGGTCTGAAAAAAGAAACTGCCCAACAGTCATGACAGGAGGATGTCCAGTCCTCTGGATGAAATAAAAACTCAACCCAAATAGGTTTGAAAAATAAGAGGAATTTGTGAGCTTGTGTCACTGAAAAGTCCAGAGGTAGGATGGCTGTCAAACTCAGTTTGACCTGGTTTGAGAAGCCATGAGGACTCTGAATCCATTTTCTTGCCCTCCTTGTACATCAGTTTTTTCCTCAGACTGGGCACCATCATCATCACCATCACTATCATCATTGCTTGGACCTTTGGGCATTTACTATGACCCAGGAATTGTTCTAAGTGTTTAGTATTTATTTATTTTTTTTATAAATTAATTTTTATTGGTGTTCAATTTACCAACATACAGAATAACACCCAGTGCTCATCCCGTCAAGTGTCCCCCTCAGTGCCCGTCACCCATTCACCCCCACCCCCGACCCTCCTCCCCCTCCACCACCCCTAGTTCATTTCCCAGAGTTAGAAGTCTTTATGTTTTGTCTCCCTTTCTGATATTTCTCACACATTTCTTCTCCCTTCCCTTATATTCCCTTTCACTATTATTCATATTCCCCAAATGAATGAGAACATACACTGTTTGTCCTTCTCCGGTTACTGTGGCCAAGTTCAAAAAGGGTGTTGCCTGAGTTCTCCTCTGGGATTTTGATGGAATCTTGTCTCACATTTAGATCTTTCATCTATTTTGAGTTTATCTTTGTGTATGGTGCAAGAGAGTGGTCCAGTTTCATTCTTCTGCATGTGGATGTCCAATTTTCCCAGCACCATTTATTGAAGAGACTGTCTTTCTTCCAGTGGATCGTCTTTCCTCCTTTATCGTATATTAGTTGACCATAAAGTTCAGGGTCCACTTCTGGGTTCTCTATTCTGTTCCATTGATCTATGTGTCTGTTTTTGTGCCAGTACCACACTGTCTTGATGACCACAGCTTTGTAGTACAACCTGAAATCTGGCATTGTGATGCCCCCAGATATGGTTTTCTTTTTTTAAAATTCCCCTGGCTGTTCGGGGTCTTTTCTGATTCCACACAAACTTAAAATAATTTGTTCTAAGTCTCTGAAGAAAGTCCATGGTATTTTGATAGGGATTGCATTATACGTGTAAATTGCCCTGGGTAACATTGACATTTTCACAATATTAATTCTGCCAATCCATGAGCATGGAATATTTTTCATCTCTTTGTGTCTTCCTCAATTTCTTTCAGAAGTGTTCTATAGTTTTTAGGGTATATTTTGAGAACCATTTGAATGGTAAATGGTTCTCCAACCTTTTATTTTCAGGTTGTAGGTGTCCTTCTGTCTAAAATGAGTCTCTTGTAGACAGCAAATAGATGGGTCCTGCTTTTTTATCCAGTCTGAAACCCTGCGCCTTTTGATGGGGTCATTAAGCCCATTCACGTTCAGAGTTACTATTGACAGATATGAGTTTAGTGTCATCATGGTATCTATTTAGTCCTTGTTTTTGTGGATTGTTCCACTGAACTTCTTCTTAAAGGGGAATTTTAAGAGTCCCCCTTAAAATTTCTTGCAGAGCTGGTTTGGAGGTCACATATTCTTTCAGTTCCTGCCTGTCTTGGAAGCTCTTTATCTCTCCTTCCATTTTGAATGAGAGCCTTGCTGGATAAAGTATTCTTGGTTGCATGTTCTTCTCATTTAGGACCCTGAATATATCCTGCCAGCCCTTTCTGGCCTGCCAGGTCTCTGTGGAGAGGTCTGCTGTTACCCTAATATTCCTCCCCATGAAAGTCAGGGACTTCTTGTCTCTTGCTGCTTTAAGGATCTTCTCTTTATCTTTGGAATTTGCAAGCTTCACTATTAAATGTCGAGGTGTTGAACGGTTTTTATTGATTTTAGGGGGGGATCTCTCTATTTCCTGGATCTGAATGCCTGTTTCCCTTCCCAGATTGGGAAAGTTTTCAGCTAGGATTTGTTCAAATACATATTCTGGCCCTCTGTCCCTTTCGGCGCCCTCGGGAACCCCAA